TTGTTCATCCATAAATTCTTATCCTTACTCAAAAGAATACAGTATCACTGTCTACCCTTCATTTAATATTTTATTTGTACATTTGTATTTTATTTGTTTTACGCCATACTCAGCAATATTCCAGCTATATGAATGCGGTCTGTAAATAATCGAGTCTGGACCAGACAATCCAGTGATTGACATCATGAGCATCGATCCGCAATTGGGATTGATGACATCCTTCAACCAAGTCAGCGAGCCTGACCACCCGATCCCGTTAGTCACCTCTTACGACAAGCATAGTCGCCTTTTACGGCAAGCATGGGTTGCTGAAGACCTATTCTACCCCGGATCTTCACGGGTCCCCTTTGAAGCAAATAGAGAGATAATCTGTCAGAACACTTTACCACAGAGCTGAATGGATCTGCTGTATAAATCTACTTCAATAGAGATACATATACCACACCATTGGCAGTGGTGGGATGGGTTTACCAGCTCGACACATCACCTACACCATCTGGCTAATAGGAGAGGTTAATAGGACAGAAAGCTTACACATTTTCCTACAAACCTCAACTTGAGTACTGAATACCCCATAGAATTAAACACACACTCCTCCAACATACCACATAGCCACCAATCTTCAGCAGATCCCAAATGGGTCAGTCATAATAATCCTTATTTGCCAGTAAGTCTTCTATCTAGGATATACCTGTTCACGGAGACTTCATCAAGCTTGTATTAACAACCTCACTTGCATGCTTCTATCAGTAATCTATGATTAATCTTTATCCAACACACTTCGGCCATAAGAGCCATAAATAGATTAGCCCATGCTGGATGTATTCCAACATCAGATTCTATAATAACAATGTCAAGCTATGTGCCCCCTCATGCATTTCAACTTCACCAACATCACAAAAGATTGTTTGTACTCTTGCTAAGGCTGAGGTGGGCGAGAACAGGCCCCTGTGCATTGTTGGCAGGCTTTATGTTGGAGACTGATGGGAATTTTCTCTGTTGCTCCTTTTTTTCCTATGAGAAAATAATCATCACTCCTTATCACCCAGTGATATGCTTTCTACCTTGACTTTATGACTTTCTTTGTGGTGTGTGAATGGAGACGAAGATGTGAAAGTATTTGTGGGACGTGTTGTGAGGAATGCCTATTTTCTTCTCTTTATTCCAGTTTAATTGTTTTTCTTATCCAACCAATCGGCTCCACAAGCCCCCATGAGCCAAGAGTGAGTGAGTGAGTGAAATGGTTTAACCCGGCTTGGAACATATTTCAGTTATGTCATGGGGTCAGCTTCTTGTGGGAGGAAATCCTGAAGTGATGCAGGTCTTAGAAGTTTAGGAAAAGTATGTGATTTGAACCCATGATCAACAGTTTCTTGAACACCTAAGAGATGCAACTCAGCACAGCTGTTTCCGGTGATGTAAACAACTGGCAACCTAGACCCCCTCTAACAATAAGCAAATCATATCACTGGTGATAAAACCAATTACCATGAACATATAATTCTTCAATAATTGCTACTGTATTTTCTTGAGTATAGTGCACACTTTTTTTTTTAAAAACACAGCTGTGTAGAAGGGGTGCTTTATACACGAATTAATGAGTTTTGATGTTTTGTCCCCCATGGAAAGACATTACCGCGAGCATGTAACACCGGAAATACAATGTCAACAAATCCATGCTGAAGTATGCAAATTAGTCATGTAATTAATTACACTGTCATGCTATAAAAAGTGTTCTTTGTATATCTGGACTTATGTTTGTAACTTATTTTATTAATTTTATTCAAAATTCCTTTTAATATTGTTTTAATTAATTTTGGCGAAATTGTGTTAAGCGATCGGAAGATCGCACAACTCACTGTTATTAACAGCAACCACGGTCAGATTACCGCTATTGACGCCTTAAAACGAACTTTAGTTGACTATTTGGTACTCGAATACTTACAGGCTGGGGTAATCATGGTAATGTAGCGGGGTTATTTAATTTTACTGAAATCAGTATAAAACAACATTCATTCATTATCATGAACATCATAACCATTATTTCAGGCAATAATGCCACAAAATAATATAATTATAACAAAAAAATTATTTCAGACAAAATTCTAATACAGAGATCAGTGATTACACTGTCTCATCTTGTCTGACCCTGAAGATTCCAGGTTAGAATAGTTCTTCAGCAACCAATGTGACCATGCTTGTCGTAAGAGGCGACTAGCAGGATCGGATGGTAAGGCTCGCTGACTTGGTGCATGTCATCGTATCCCAATTGCGTAGATCAATGTTCATGATGTCAATCACTGGATTGTCTGGTCCAGATTCGATTATTTACAGACCGCGTTCATATAACTGGAATACTGCTGAGTGCAGCATCAAACAACAAAACAAACAAACAAACAAATGACATTTTTTGCAATTAAAATCCAAATGATAATAATTATAACAATGGTAACTATTGTTTGATCTAAGAAAGATACTTGATAACAATTATACAAGTAACCATGGTAACTATTGTTTGATCTAAGACAGATACTTGAATTGTGCAGTCAGCACTTACAAACATGTTGAAGCAAGGAGAAACCACAACATGAGGAAATGATCAACTGCTTTGAAGTGTTCCTCACAAACTGCGTATTTATCTTTATCATTGTTTATATGTTCGAAAATAAAACAAAGTCCCCTCTCCTCCATCAAGTTCTCTGTAGTGTTATACAGACATACGGCCATGTTTACATCAGATGTTTAAGACATGTAACAGACTGCATTGGCTGAGAAGGAGGTGGATTTGTAATGGCTGCTCGCTACAAGTACAGTGCTAGCAGTCCTATTCATCAGTAGGGGTTTTCAGTACAGATGCTAGTACATAAATCAGTTATTAAGCATGAAAGACATTGAAAACCATGACAACCAAGTCCTGCACCATGCTTGTGTAATTATATATCTGCATCTAAATTAATCAAACCCAGCCTAGTTCATACCAATAGCAAAGTCGAGCTAGCCATACAAAATCAATATTACAAGTTTTTTTCAATCATAAAACAGAATTTATTGTGTAATGATTATCTGTTTGCAATAATCCAGCTATTGATGGTAGACAGTAAATGATCAAGTCCAGACCAGACAATCGAGTGACTGATAATTTGCAAGCAACAATCCACGCCCCGTGTACAATGAAACGCTATCAACCAAGTCACCGAGACTGACAACCTGATAAATGTGGTCACCTCTTACAACCAGCATTAGTTGCTGGGGACCTATTCTAAACCAGAATTTTTAAAGGTATTAAAGTATTGAAAGATTTCAGAATAGATACACTAACCTTAACCCTGTCTTCACATATATGACGGCCACTAAACGCCACTTAAAGGTATCCTATACAGTGTAAATACCTGTAAATCCAGACTATAGTTCCCAGTGAAGTGTCTGGATTGACAAGGGCTAGGTATTATAAGGGCCCTCACACTAGAAATATCTAATATAAAGTTATGGGGAAATTTGAATTCTTGTTATGAAAGTTGAAAAGTGCATCTGAGAACTGTCATAACAATAGGGTCTTTACCTCCCCCTTTAACAGTGGTACGGAATACCATAAATCATCAAATTAATGCGTCCCCAAATTGATACGAGAGCCCCCCCTGGCCTAAATTGAGTCATGAAATTAAAGCGAATAGCCCTGCCTTCGTCACTGACAAAGATTGTAAATGTTGTTCCTCACATAGTGAGCGTAATCCTGTGAACAGAGTATGTATGCACCATGGCTGTTGTTACGAGGTGAAGGGATTATTTGGCCAAGTTACCGAGAAGAAAGACATCATACACAGTTGGCGACTGTCACAACAGCTGGAGCACATAGTGTAAACAAAGTGACCACACTTGATGCGGAACTTGTTGAGAAGCACTCTAGCACTCAATTACATTGTTTAGTGGAATCTTTGTTACGTATGTCAATGTTTCCGCCCTGTGCAGTGAACCTGACATGACAGCATACTCCAGTATGTCCAGACAAAAATGTGTTACCTTAATTCAAAAAAGGGACACTCACATTTTTATGATACACGATTTACAGTCATGACTTTGAGGTTAGAACATAGAGGTTCTGAACTAAAATCGGCCTGTATACCAGGGTTTTCAGACTAATGAGGGCCTTGACTAACAAGGTTTGTCTGTTCTAACAACTAGGACAACCTCAACAATAAATGGCTGAAATGCGTAACAGTCACGTATGATGTACATTGATCCTGACACGGATGTGAGCTTTCCTTCATGACTTGCACACTAAAATCATTTTAATAAACGGTACATACAAACTAGGGGCTGTTTACATAGCAGGTTTCTGTTGATTTTGTATATTTGTGTACTTCAAGCATGCTGCAATGACTCACATGTAATACTGTCATGTTTTGCAAGTGATTACTTCCAACTATCAACAACCCTGAAGATCTTCTTGATGTTGTTGTTTATTCCTGATCATCATATAGCTTAAACATGGAGCCTGAAATCAACATGTGGATCATGAATTTATATCTCTTTCTAAGACTATGTGCATAAACAGAATTCTGTTTGAGTGAGTGAGTATGCTTTTACGCAGCTTTTAGCAATATTTAAGCAATATCACGGCAGGGGACACCGGAAAATGGGCTTCACACATTGTACCAATGTGGAGAATTGAACCCAGTTATTCAGCGTGATGAGCCAGCGCTTTAACCATTAGTCTACCCCACCCCCTCCAATTCTGTTTGAATTAACCCAAGTACATTAATGCATTAAAAATAATTCACTTATCAAATAAACAAATAACACTAATAATAACAATTCCAATTTTATTCTTTAAAATAACCCTACACTCATTCTGAGAAAACATACAAACCAAAATAATTTCCCATCCAACCCTAACAGATTACATCCCAACTTCATAAAAGGTTTCAACATTTCTCATCATTTACTTAAATTCACAATACTTCAATGCCAGTAATTAAATAAATATTCAATAATAACCTCACCTTGAAATCAACAGAGGTAAATCCATTCCGTCCATGAAATACTGCACTATATATGTTCCCCGACTGTTGAACTGTATATTTCTATAGGCGGGCCAACACTGTTTGAGATGTTGTTGAAGTGGGTCTAGCTCACTTGGACTTCTGTTTGGCTACAGGAAAGTGCTGGAGACATATTTCCTGTCTCTTGCTGCTTGCAGTCAGGGTCACGCTACACTTCCCTTCCTCCCTCAGAACAAGTGCATCTCAGTCTCGTGGAAAACATTTGACGACACCTCGCCTGCAAAACACATTCGGGCTGCATAGAATACATCTATCGGCAGTTTCAGTTACAAGTTTAAAATTAGGTCGTAGATGAATGTCAGCGATGAAAGAACATGTACGTTTAACTCAACCATTAGGAGATCAAATGGGCTTTCACTGATTTGGTTTTGCCTTACATATATCCTATCTACATAGTGATGAATAAGCTAAATTAAAAGTCTATGTTGTGTGAGGCTGCAGTGCGGGAGAGTTATGCATGTTTATGTATGACGTTTGATATATGGTAAACTGCATGGCGGATATATCAACTATATATCACAATGATCTCTCCTGCAGCTGTGGTTCTAACAACGTACAACACATTGTCTCTAGTGATGACTACCGGTACTACATTTGATCAAAGTAAGACATGACAGTACTTGACATGTACCGTATATCCTATAAAACAGAAACCTTTCAGAAAGTTGTTAACTAATTTGTTGATCTGTTCTGACTAGATGATAAAAAAGGACAAACTGTAAACATAGTAAAGATGGTAAAAAAGTACATAAAATAATGCAACAAATAATTTAATTTGGATATTTTTGTTGTTTTGTCACACTCAGCAATATTACAGCTATATAACAGAGGCATGTAAATAACCAAGTCTGGACCAAACAATCCAGTGATTGATATTATCTGCAAAAATAATCTGCAAAACAGAAGTCAATATAGAAATATTTCTAACCGGAGAACCATGGTTGGTTGGCTGGTTGGTTTGTTGTTTAACGCAGCACTCAGCAATATTCCAACTATATGAAGGTGGTCTGTAAATAATCGAGTCTGGACCAGACAATCCAGTGATTAATATCATGAGCATTGATCCACGCAATTGGGAACGATGACATGCATCAACCAAGTCAGCGAGCCTGACCACCCAATCCCGTTAGTTGCCTCTTACGACAAGCATAGTCGCCTTTTACGGCAAGCATTGGTTGCTGAAGACCTATTCTACCCCGGAATCTTCACGGGTGCGGAGAACCATGGTTACCTATTGGATGTTTAAATAAGAAGTGTACAAGAGACAAAACTGAAATTAAATAACAAATAAATAGAGCAAAGATATTGATAATCACAAATTTTAAATCTTGATAAACAGTGAATGTGTACAAATTTACAAAAATGTCTGAGACAATGTTATAACATCTCCTTGGATTCTGACTATCTACTCACAAGTTGCTACAAGCCCAGGCCTCTCTCTCAGTCAACACAACTTTACCCTTCCTCCTGTAGGACTTTAATAACTACTACAAGATTCTATCTGTTATTCTATCTCCTTGTCTGTTGTACTATCAAGTTTCAAAATGAGGCTCAGCCATGTTTGACGGCCTCATAGTAAATTTGGCCAGCACACTCACAAAATGTCTTTTCCAAAGTGAAGAAATTTGATCAGCAGTGCCAATGTTTTCACTATGTCTCTGCGCGCTAGCCGAATCAACAAGAGAAATAATTACTTCAAAGTGTATCATGGCCTGAAATAATGCACCACTACAAAGTACCGTACTTAACGCAACACCTAGTTTAACTTTATTGGGGCTTTAAATTACAAGTGCCATTCATTATTTGAAGTGGTTAGCGAGTTCACATCATGTAATAAATATAGTAGCTATCTTTTTCATGAAAACAGTTCACGTCACAGCTGGGAGTTCTTCAGACGTGTAGCTGCATTCTGAGTTCATTTTCATAATATCAACCTGTGACATTATACATAGTTGGAGCTTAATACTTGAATTTCAGAAACGTGGCAAGGTTTTAACTTTACTTGAGAAAGAAGTTTTACCATGCATTGTTGATAATAAATCAGATCAAATTTTGAAGAAGTATTCACATTCATTATCCAGATTTTGTCAGGAACCCCTATATTTTTGTTACACTTCCCTAAATGGAGAATAAAACAGTTCTCCAGTTTGTTTGTTGTTTAATCCCACACTCAGCAATATTCCAGCTATAAGACAGCGGCCTGTCAATAATACAGGTCTGGACCAGACAATGCAGTGGTCGATATTGTGAGCAACAATCCAGGCAATCTGGGTATGATGACACACAATCATCCAAGTCTGACCACCTGATACATTAAGCAGCCTCTTATGACCCAGGGTTTCCAGGGACCTTTTCCAAACTGGAATCCTCATGGGGCAGGTTATTAGTGACCAATGTCTGCCAGTAGAACAAGGGATTGGATGGGTACAGTAGCTGCTGATACTGAGGGCCTGATTTAAAATATTCCATCCTATACCATGTATACACACATACAAATAGAGAACAGATGCCAAATAATTTACATTGCAAGTCGTAGAGATGCAAAATACATTACAATGCAAGTCGTGGGATGCAAATAATTTACATTACAAGTCGTAGGAATGCAAAATATATTACAATGCAAGTTGTAGAGATGCAAATTATATTACAATTCAAGTCTAGGGATGCAAATTAAGTTACATTGCAAGTCGTAGCATTGCAAAATAAATTACATTGCATGTCGTAGGAATGCAAAATAAATTACATTGCAAGTCTAAGGATGCAAATTAAGTTACATTGCAAGGCGTAGCATTGCAAAATAAATTACATTGCAAGTTGTAGAGATGCAAAATAAATTACAATGCAAGTCTAGGGATACAAATTAAGTTACATTGCAAGTCGTAGCATTGCAAAATAAATTACATTGCATGTCGTAGGAATGCAAAATAAATTACATTGCAAGTTGTAGAGATACAAAATAAATTACAATTCAAGTCTAGGGATGCAAATTAAGTTACATTGCAAAATAAATTACATTGCAAGTTGTAGAGATGCAATATAAATTACAATGCAAATCGTGGGATGCAAATTAAGTTACATTGCAAGCTGTAGCATTGCAAAATAAATTACATTGCATGTCGTAGGAATGCTAAATAACTTACATTGCGAGTCTTACGGATCTAAAATAATGTACATTGTCATTGGGATGCAAAAGGATAATTATAACTAACAAAAATTGAAAGTTGCATGTTCAATTTAATGCTGATTTCTGCTGTGGTAAGAAATACATGCTGTTTGTTTGTTTGTTGTTGTTAACGCCACACTCAGCAATATTACAGCTATATGACACGGTCTGTAAATAATCAAGTCTGGACCACACAGTCCAGTGATTGACATCATGAGCATCAATCCACGTAACTGAGATACAATGATGTGCATCAACCAAGTCAGCCAGCCTGACCACCCGACCCCAGCTAACAATATTCCAGCTATATGAAGGCAGTCTGTAAATAATCGAGTCTGGACCAGACAATCCAGTGATTGATATCATGAGCATTGATCAACGCAATTGGGATCGATGACATGCTTCAACCAAGTCAGCGAGCCTGACCACCCGATTAGTCGCCTCTTACGACAAGCATAGTCGACTTTTACGGCAAGTATGGGTTGCTGAAGACCTAGTCTACCCCGGATCTTCACGGGTCCCTTTTAATGTCGAGCAGATATATAAAACTGTGAAAGTTAACGGACAACCGGACAACAAACAACACTCCATGACATAATTTTCCTTGACTTTCAGTCAGGTGAGCTTAAAATAAACTACTATCCTCATCTACCATAATAATCCCTTATCAAAGAAACGCAGCACCAACAATTGTCTAAAAAAAAGATTAAAACACCTCCTTCACTAAAGCCTACTTGTAAATAGGAAGTTAATTTTTTATCAGAAGCAACAGCACACAGGATAAAGTTTCTCCCTTATCAATACAAATCTTTGTGGAAACCTCTTCCCTCATCTTAGAGTTTCTCTGGTTTAGCGAAAAACAGGCAAGGTGTCAGATGTAATTACATAATTAAAACAAATGTAGGCACTAAATGCTGGTGCAAGCTTCCTCGAAGGAGTGGCTTCTGCACCTGGTGATTGCGACATGGTTCAATCTGAGAAAGATAATGCGGAACTTCGGATAACGTACTCTCAAATTGAGGTTCAGCTGGCTCTTTTTCCTTAAGCAATTCTCCAAGAAGGTGGTAGTGGGTTAGCAGTGTGCTGTTATGTGGGCTTCTTCTATAAAGTTAGTTTTTTGTGAGTATTTTAATTAAGATAAGGCCAGGTTATAGTAAAAATAGGAATCTGTGCACTTAAGCTGAAACAAACGTGTGTTTCCCATTTCAGCCCATCCCAAAATAGGGTGGGTAGATGGTTGGAATATTTATATATTTCTACAAAAATGGGTATTTTGCAGTATTTCAATAGATAATGACTGATTTGTCATAATGAAGCGCAACAAATGTACAGTAATGACACATAATTCAGACACCACTGGGATGGTGATAACGTCTACTGACCAACTCATGGGAAACTAGAAAAAAGGGTCAAGGGCTACAGTTTACGGTCAATCGAGAAACATACGAGATGACAATGGGAGGGCACATTGACAATACCATCAATGACAGGGGTGCCTAATTGGTCCACTATTCCAAAAAGACCCCATTTCATTCCAATAAAGATGCACAACTTGATAGTACGATCGCGCTGTGATACATAATGAACGATACTTCCAAATCAATACTTGACATGCTAAGGAAACATTCTATCATCTAAGGAAGTAAATAGTAGCTGAACTAAACATATTTTTGTACATTTTAGTTAATAAATATAACAGTGGCTTAAGACCTTGTGCACATATATGCAGAAAATACATGACAGAAAATAAGATGTCATGGTATATGCAACTCAAAAGAAGTTACAGAATGCACAATTTTTCATCTAACCATAGTTAATCTGTCATGGTATATACTAGTTAAAAGAAGATCACCCAATTCTCTCATACTGCCATGGTAAATATGTCATGGAAGATATGACTCAAAAGAAGCTGTTCTTTTAACTTCTTTACAGTAGTATATAATAACCTTCTTGTATCTTTTTGTCACTTTATCTGCCCCATCGATACGATACTCATATCGTGGCAGAGGATACCACAATGCACCAAACATTCGTTGACTCATTCAACCATTCCGGGTTTACCATTACAGGGGTTTATCTTCTGTATATCATGCTGCACTATACTTGTGCATGACCTTGCTCTTGGTTCAACGACTGGAGCACAAATTGACTTTCAAATATATGTTCACAGCTGCCATTGAGATGAATGTTTTGCAGGGGGGGCATGCACATCTCAGCACGCTCATTACCAAACAACACTGGTAGTAACGAAGGAGTGATTTCAACATGTGTACTTACTAGCAATATTAAAAATTAATCATTTTATCAAACCATTTTGAAATGGAACTGATACAAAACATGTTTCCATGTACTTTATGTTCTGTTAGTTTTTTAGCATTTGTCAACAGAAGAGCAGCGAAGATAATCTGACAATGCTTTCACAAAGATGTTTGATGGGAATGAAAGCTGGTCCCTCATGATATTTTCCTAAATAATTCTGGAAGTAATTTCATTTTAATGAGGGCAATCAGTTGTTGGCAAACACACAGACAAAAAATGACAAAAATTATAAAACTTTGGTGTTCAGGATGGTTAAGTGTCATTTTGGAAAAACAACATGGATGAGGCATTTTTTGTCTCTAACTGCCAAAACTTGTGACTCCCTGTAATGGATTATTCATTCACTACTAAACTCTGAAAATCTTATTTTGAACCTTTTCTTGAAATCTAATAAACATTAAATTATCAGTTTTAAAGAATCCTATAAAATGTGCTGGGTTTTTTTTATATCTGTTATCTCTGAAGTGAAAGCTTATTTTGTTCAATCTCATTGTGTTTACAAATAAGCTAAAAAACATTTGAGGCTAAATTTCCTTTTTTAATATTTCGTTTATTTCTTCACTTAAAGAAAGAAAACTTCTTTTTTTCAAATAAATCACTGTTTATAACCAAGCTCAACAGACATAATTCGAGACAACCCCTCCTACTGACCTATGCAAATGACCTAGACATACACAACATAAATAGTGATATTATTTTAAATCATTATCATGATTGGATTATCAAAATTGATAATTAATAATTCATAAAATAAATAAGAAATAAGAAAAAAAAACTTACCCACACAAACTTATCCAAAGAAGTGAAACACAGTCCACAACAAGCAGCTTTATGAAAACTTGTACAGGACTTTCATCATACTTTGACGTTGCTCAGCTGTTTATGGTACATATATACAGAACGCTGAACGCTGTATACATCCACTACCAACTGTGAACAAATTTGTATCCAAATCTATCAAAGCCAGCTTTTTCAGGACATTCGTTCTCAACAACACCACACAGTAGGTGAAATTATTCCCACTGGCATTCAACAAGTCCCAAAATAACAACCCTCTTCTTACAATTGTTCGCGTAACTTACGAAACTCGACAAGGCCCTCTCAAGTCTATGCCACTGCCTGTCTGTTGTTCTGCGTTCTAACTCGCGAGCTACATTCGCCAGAACTTACCTGAGTTGGTCACCTGTATTCGGAGCCTCCCAGCGTTAGTCTTTCCAATTAGTAAAGTGTCCGCACTAACCGTTCCTGTTGTTTGTCCACGCGAGTGATTGGCGTTTCATTGTTTAATATCGCACCTGTTGTTTTCTTTCGTCGTGCCAGGGGTCAGAGGTCACGAATTGCGGATGCTCATGGGAGGTAACTAGGAAACACTTGCAGCCGGGTCTTAATCCTTCAACAATGTCATTCACATATAGTGAGATAAATGTACAGACTGTTGTCAAGAAGAAATATTTAACATAAGAGTTTTTCGCATTTTTTTACCTGGCAATATTAGTCACTGTGAATTAAATATATATAAAAACAGAAAGGTTTAAACCACGTGAAGTGCAAGATTTGTTCGTATAGTAAGTCTTAGTGTATGACTTGATAATGTTTATAGGTCTTAGTGACCAGCCAGCCATTTATTACACAAGGGTGGGGGGTCACATTTTTTATGCCCCTCCCCATATCTTTGCACATTTCTTTCACGACCCTCACTGAGAAGACAACATGCAAAGAGACTTTATAGTTTATCATTAACTGTCTGTATTTTCAGGACCCTCCTTAAATATGGTATTATTTTTTACGACCCTCCCCGAGAGAATGTAATATTTTGGGGTGACTCTCCCCTGATTCCCCTCGACCCACCCACCCCCTATAATAAATGACCAGTCCCTTTATATAGTCTCCCTGATATGAACAGTTCCTATGTATCGAAGCATTTGCTCCCACTGGGTTGTTGTAAGTCGTTGCAGTCTTTCTACATAGTACTGTGAATAATAAGGCCACACATTTTGTATTTTTCGTTTCTCGGGCCCACCGCACCTACTGAAATGCCGCCGGAAAAGAAATAATTAAACATAAAATTATTTTTATTATACCTCCCGCGAGTAATATCGACAATAAAAAAAATGTTATACATAAATTCCATGTCTACATCGCTAACAGTGATTCAAGAAGCAAGCTGCCAGCAGAATGATTTCATATAAATAAATATATGATTTATTTCGACCGACCTTGTGTGGAAAAGCTGGAATAAATCCGTGAAACTTAAAATTTAAAAAGTGTGGCCTAACTCGCAAAAAAGTCTTTAGGAAACCAATCATTAGGGGTCAGTTGTACACCATTTTTATGAGATTAGTTGTACACCGCTATTCTTATAAGAGCTCGAACGACTTTCGTAAAACCCATTCGGACCTCTTTCACAAATAATGTCATTTCCAAATACAAAACTGAACATGTCACCAAAACATGTATTTCTACATGTTGCTGGGGACCTATATTCATGTACTCAGGTTCCACAACGGTGTTTTATAACGTGTGTCGTTATGACAACCACTGACCTCTTCAACGGGCCATTGCATGCGATAGTCTAGCAGTCAAAGCGATCGCTCTTCACCCTGAAACGCCGGTTTGAATTGCCACGTGGTTATTTACAATGCGAGAAGAACATTCCCAGTAATGCTGGAAATCAAAATGCAGAAAGTGGCATGTGGTGGTGTAGTAGCTAGGTGGCTGAAGATCTGGTTCGATTCGCCACATGACTATACAATATACCGACTGACTGAGTGTGGTTTTACGCCGCTTTTAGCAATATTCCAGCAATATCCGGCGGGGGACACCAGAAATGGGCTTCACACATTGTACCCATGTCGGGAATCGAACCCGCGTCTTCGGCGTGACGAGCGAACGCTTTAACCACTAGGCTACCCGACCGCCCCCTATACAATCAGGGTATGAAACTCCCCAAAATTTCAGCCAGACCACAGGACTGGCTAGCTGAAATACTTGCCAGCCCTGACCAAAACCTGCCTGCCCACTATAATCATATGTTTCTCAGGATAAGCTAACGGGGTTTCTTTTTGGTTACATTTTATCATTCATCTTTACATGTGAATTCATGCTTATCATCGGGAAATATTTAGAATATTTTCACATATGAAATATAACCCGACCGTCGGGCAGGGGGATTTGAAAATCTGGCAGCCCGAGGTGAAATCAACCCGTCTCGGACGGTCGGGCAGGCAGGTATTTCGAACACTGATACAATATACAGAAGCCTATGTTTGGTGTCACCCGTCCTTGTATTGCTGGATTAATGTTAAAAGCGGTGTTAAACATTCACTGAAAGCGGCGTAAAATTTCATTCACTTACTCACTCAATCCTCACTCTCTCACTACAATCGGAGTGAAACTTTATTCACTCACTCTCAAAGCGCTCCGGTGAGAATAGGTCTCCAGCAACAAATATATCGGTATTGAAAGAGACGACAAAATGGACAACATTTTGCGGCGTTAAACAACAAGCAAGCAAACAAACAAACACCTTACGCGGAGTGAAACTCAGTGACTGACTGACCCTTTCATCGTTCCGGCCATTAAGTACAATTAGGCTTGTTTGATTTCTATTCAGTCTGACAGTCATATAGAGAAACAGCCTCTTTGTGGAACGCAGTCCTCTATAGTGTCAATATCGGCCGGAACAAAAGAGACATGAACGTTTGTGTAACAAACAATTTAAATAATTGTTATGATAAAATGTGGTGACGTAACCACACAATTCACAAACTGCATAAATGTTTGGTTTTTCCTCCAATAATCACACATTCAGTCTGACGCTGCAAGGACAATTTAGATTACATTACTGTGTATAAGATTAATACTCTTATGATCTCTTATGATTGTTCTGTGAGAATCAGCTATGGTATGGTTTTACAGCCAACAGTGATACTCTGTGATGTCATTACTGTGATGACGTCATGAAATTTAAGCCATGCGCAAATAATGTCTGTATTATGTGATTACGTCAACAATCGCTCTTACGTCAACCATGCTGTATATAACGCGTGAAATAATTATTGCACTTGTGTTTCAAATGAAATTTTGTCAACTCCTAATCCTCAAATAGTAAACGACCCGTGAAGATCCGGGGTAGAAAAGGTGTTCAGCAACCCATGCTTGCCGTAAAAGGCGACTATGCTTGTCGTAAGAGGCGACTAACGGGATCGAGTGGCCAGGCTCGCTGACTTGGTTGATGCATGTCATCGGTCACAATTGCGTGGATCGATGCTCATGATGCCAATCACTGGATTGTCTGGTCCAGATTCGATTATTTACTGACCGCCGTCATATAGCTGGAATATTGCTGAACGTGGCGTTAAACAACAAACAAATATGCACAATATTTAAAAAAAAAAAACGATGCATATTAATCTCACACCTTACCTCTAAGTACGTATGCTATTTTTATCGAAAGAATTTATGTAGGTGCCACAATGTATGCTATATAAATATTACTCTAGCCAGATTTTACTGTCTGCTCGGGTCACACGATAACGTCGCATCTTGACATGCAAGAGTTGTCTTTCTTGATGTTTCCCAAGCAAGGAGTTTTCTACGATCTAGAATTGTCAAATATTTATCACGATTCGTGTAATTGGCGCACACGATTGCAAGTACATGTACCACCGAGACTTTATATATTTTCTATCTGTACGCAGATCAAATCTCAAGCGTGGAAAAAGCATTTCGTAATAACTGAACGAAGACGGATTGTCGTCTGCACGAAAACTGAATCAAGAGGCACGCCATGCACCCGTCCTTGAGTCGTCTGCTATCTAAGCTGTGTACCGTGCGCGTGGCCACAACGTGCTGTTATCTGTCCATATCCCCGAGACTCAATAGTATAAATACAAGGTCAGGTGGAGCATTATCACGCTATATCACAACTATGTCGAAGCCCAAGGTAAGCTGAGATAGAATTTTGCTTTCTAATAATTGAACTGTAACATGGTTGTCGAAATAGTCCTACAGATTCGAATTCCTTGCATTGCTTTTGCTTTTTTATTCTGCACTAAATAGTACAAGGTTATAGACATATAAGGTAGTGGGTCACTGCTGTGTGACACTGCGTACATTACCGCTCATAGATGTTATAGATGTAAGCAATTAAGTAAGGGACCTCTCGTATATGTGTGGAGTACCCATTGATTGCCTTATCAATTTTGTTTATTTGATTTGTTTGACCTTCTAATTGTTAGTTATTTTAGTTCATATGGTGTAAAATTCCCCCCCCCCCCCCCCCCCCCCCCCCAAATTAAATAAGAATAGATAGAAAATACAATAATGAAAATCACACATATTATTAGTCTTTTAACCATAAACATTATCATGACCCCCCAATAAGGTGTAATTATATTCATGACATTAATCACAAAGAACAATGAAGAACGATGCAGGGTTTATTTCATGTTAAAACATTGTTCTATCATGATGTCATATCTGGAGATTCGAACATGTGCTCGCAACTTTGATGGCATCGTCAATTGGACAATGATATGTTTCAGAGGGAAGTACCTAGTGAGTTGTTCCTTGTAGATGTAGCTGGGCAATGCAGATAAACACAATGGCCAAATGATCGCACTCAAAAGTGGGAGAAATATGACAATCGTTATTGGGAAAAAAGATGGAAATTGTGAGAATATCTGTGAAATACCAAACTCAACACCCCTGTTCGTAAAATGGACTTTTGTCGAGGTCAGATTGTGTTCAGTGAGTTATCATTGTATAAATACAGGTAAATATTTTGAAAGCTTGTACACATTACAGTGTTTTTATTGTATGATAAACAATGACCACAAGTCGTTTATTTCTTAATTAAATATCTGAGTCAGAGCCAGACAAATCACTGGCTGATAATATGAGCAACATCCTACATGATCTAGGTATGATGACATGCAATCAACCGACCACCCGATTAGGTTTAGTCTCCTTTCATGACAAGCAATATAGAGTGCTGGGGACCTTTACTTACTTAGAAACAGGTAATTTTTTAAAATGATCTCTTGTAAGAATGACAGTTCAGAGAAATGAAGTACAAATTTATTTGTTTGAAATTAACTTTCCATTCCCTACTGCTTAACCTTTGGATTTTCTTTTTATTGTTAACTCTGTTGGAAGAAAACAAGAAAAATAGATTTCTTGTTTTGTGTCCAGGTTTACATTACCCGACGTGTGCCAGAGGTAGGCCCAAGGCTTCTGGGAGAGTCATGTGACGTCACCCAATGGAACAAGGACGATCCTGTCCCTCGTGCTGAGTTACTGAAGCAGGTTGTTGGCAAAGATGCTCTATTCTGTCTCCTCACTGAGAAAATTGATGATGAAGTGTTGGATGCTGCAGGTATTCAGTGTTATCCATAAGAGGTCAAATGATACATTGGTGTACCGATGCATTGAGATTTCATATGGCGATACAACATGCAATACATTTTCTGCTGTATTGATACTATTAGTTATGGTGTCTTTAGTTGTTGTATACTGTGCATCTTAGATTAGCAGAAAAATATTAGGCCAGGCACTGTAACAAACTTATTATGCCAAAATGTTTTCACTATCCGGTATCTTGTATCTGTTATCTTTATCGCACATGTCACGTCACATGAAAACTTGACACTTACAACCTTCACTACTATTCAAACCTTTGAGGTAAACCTTGTTGAACTGTAAGCTATATTAATAAAGTCACGTACATGATTTTAATGTCTTTGCACATAACAATTAATTTTGTGAAAATTATTTAATGTGAAATATGTGAGGCGGGGCTTGATGGTATACAGCCTCATGTTAGATCAGTAACAATCATCTTGGATTTTTACTGACGGTAAACAGGCTCATATGGGGTTAGTTGTTCTGCTCTCGGATTGGTCAGTCTCACTTTGAGGCATAATAAAAGACAATACACTTTGGTGAAATAAATTGCTTACTTCTCATTTAATCCCCCCCCTGCATTTTTGTCAGTTGAATGTAAAAAAATGTGTTGTAAATTGCATTTAAAGTTCAAGACTAAAAATAACCGCTATGAACATGTGTCTACAGCTAGCTTTTCCTTTCAATCTTGCTCTGAAATATTTATAGTCAAGATGTTTCCATGCGATTTAGCGTAAATATGCATATCGCAATACATATCATATCGTGAACTATGTATCATGATACGTATCATATCGTGACTTTGCTGTATCGTTTCACCCCTATTGTCCATACACTGATTCTACTGTATACTACTGTCTATAATTAGATGATACTGTGTCCGATCAGTTGATGATTATTCTGTGTAGCCTAAACGGAGTCATGACAAAGACAGCCAGTAGTTATGTAAAAAGTTGTTAAATGTCATCCGCTGAGCTGAACTATCCTGCTCACAACACAACTCAGGACAGTTACATGATTCAAGAAACTCTGCATTTTTGTGATTGACATTGATTATTCGCAAACACTTTTTAGTTGGTTTGTTGTTTAACGCTTCACTCAGCAATATTCCAGCTTTATAACGGCGGTCTGTAAATAATCAAGTCTGGACCAGACAATCCAGTGATTGATATCATGAGCATCTTTCCACGCAATTGGGATCGATGACATGCATCAACCAAGTCAGTGAGCCTGACCACCCAATCCTGTTTGTCGACTTTTTAGTAGTAGCTCATTAACACATGCTTATGATATAGTCAGATTCGTACAGTGGACTCTGCTTTGAGTAGAGATTTCTTCTCATGTTTATTATGCTTATTGAGGAGTAAATAAACACTGGCTTGGAGTAATGTGACTTGAATAAAAAACATCTACCTGGGAATATAACTACCATATTGCCTGATATTCACCAGCATTTATTTGAAACAATTTTATATGAAGTAACAATTTGTATACAAATTATTCTTCATAAATGAACACAAAGAGACAAAGTCTATGTTACTATTTTCAACATTGTATCCACAAGGTGAAACATAGTTTGATTTTGTCGGAAAGACTTGTAGTCAAGTCAAGTTGTGGAATGTTAGAGATATTTTACAGCTGCTTCATTCAGATAGTGGCGACCATTTATCACTGAACACATTTCAATATAGTGGCACTGTCTTAAAAATGGTGACAATCACTTTTTCTTTATCACAATTTGTTGCTGAATATTGCAAGGTCATATATCTATTTAATAAACATATGAAAAGGGGAACCACAGCTATTAGCCAACTAGTCTGAGAGTAGACAATAGAATGTATTTTGGATTCTTCTACTTCCCAAATTTAGTAATGAGACAAAAATAATGATAATCATTATGTACTGTGTGTTTCAGAAAACTATTCTTCTTCTGTTTTTGTCAATAATAGAAAATTACAAGCTTATTTGTTTAATTTGTAGCCAGACTATCTGTGAAGTAATTTTTAACTATTGGTATGCAGGCCCCAAACTAAAGGTAGTGGCCACGATGTCTGTGGGGTACGATCATGTGGATGTGGAAGCATGTAAAAAGCGGAACATCTCTGTGGGCTTCACTGCAGGGGTCCTGACCAATGCCACAGCGGAACTGACCGTCACTCTGCTCCTGGCGACCTCCAGGAGGCTCAGAGAAGGTACGGGAAAATCATTAACTTGCTGACTTGTGAAGATCCAGATAGAGAATAGATCTTCAGCAACCCATCCTTGCTGTAACTGGCGACTAACGTGATCGGGTGGTCAGGCTCGCCGACTTGGTTGATTCATGTCATCGTAGGGGGCACGGGTGGCCCAGTCGTCTAATGCGCTGCAATTTGCTGTGCAGAGTTGCGTCCCTTAGGCACGCCAGAAACCTATGATTGTGGGTTCGAATCCCGGTTCGCCCCGATTATGTTTCAAGGTTTGTCAGCACCATACCCCTGCTCGTGGGTTTCACCGAAGTGTTAAACGTCTGAGACCTGCATCACTTCGGGCTTTCCTCCCACATTAAGCTGACACGCTGTGATATGACTGGAATACTGTTAAAAGCAGCGTTAAAACCTAACTCACTCACTCACTCATGTCATCGTATCACAATTGTGTGGATCGATGCTCATGATGTAATTCTCTGGATTGTCTAACCAGACTCGATTATTTATAGACCTCTGACCTATAGCTGGAATATTGCTGATTGTGGCATTAACAACAACAAATTAACTTGTTTCAGCATGATGTTTTGAGAATTATGCCCATGCCTGAAAAGTGAGACCCAAGAATGTGTGACCTGGTGTGATGTGTTGCAGGCATCCGTGCAGTGGAGAACGGTACCTGGGGCACCTGGAAACCGCTGTGGTTGTGTGGGCCGGGCCTTGATGGCGCCACTGTTGGTATTGTCGGCTTCGGGAGGATAGGGTTTGCTGTGGCGAAGCGTCTAGTACCGTTTGGAATTGAAAAAATCCTGTATTCCGATGCAATCCGAAACCCTGCTGAAGGTGAGGTTGGTGCAGAGTTGGCTCCCATTGATGAAGTTCTTTCAAGGTCGGACTATATCATTGCCTGTTGTGCGCTCACTCCTGAAACCAAGGGTATGTTTAACAAATCTGCCTTCTCGAAGATGAAGAAGAATGCAATATTTATCAACACTAGCCGTGGTGGAGTCGTGAACCAGGAGGATCTCTATGAAGCTCTGAAGTCACGCACAATTTTAGCAGCCGGACTAGATGTAACCGTTCCAGAACCGCTGCCAACTGACAGCCCGCTTCTCTCGCTGGACAACTGTACGGTGCTGCCACATATTGGCAGTGCCACAGACAAGTCTCGCGCTGGCATGTCCGAGCTCACGGCAAGGAACATCCTCACTGGTCTGAAGGGCGAGCCAATGCCCTGTCAAGTGAAATAATTGACATTTGTTTTCAGGATCGAAGTATGGTCTATGTAGTAAAGCACTGCCTTGCCAATTTCAAACTTCAGAATGTAGTCAAGGGTTCCGTGTAGCAATCCAAATGTTGAAAATAGAAGTTTTGGGATCCCTAGATTCAAATACTATAGCAGGGTATAACAGAAACCTCATGTACTCCCTTAATTAGTGACACTGACACCTACCTGACAAGTGAAATATTTGGGTATTTATTTTCAGGTTCAGGTAGAATTTGATTTGTCTGCATCACAACCCTGTCAAGTTCATCTTCCTGAGGCAAGGGAGTTAACAGACTATAAACTGGACTTCTATAGTCCCTTGACTCAGGAAGATGGTGTCAAGTTAGAGAAGTAGTTGCTTTGGTTTTTGTCATCCTTGACTATCAAAGTGTACTATATCTTCATCTAATAATGATACGGACCGCTGACACATTTGCTTCCATAACTCTGTTCAGACAAAGATTGCACTATCAATCCATATCTTCATTTCTCTTCAGTAACTTTCCACATATAATTTATTATACTTATGAGTGTAATTTGATTCTGTCGCTGTTCATATTTTTGTGTTATTTGAGCCTGACTCTAAACAGCCGCTGTGGTCTAGTGGAAGATTGGCGGTCCAACCCCTAGCAGCATCATACCGAAAGACATTGAAAAATGGTGCTTGTTGTTATTGTTATCTCACTGCCAGATATATGATTGACTGCAGTAAAATCTTCTTCAAATTGATGTAATATTCAGAAATATTTCACCAAGTAGCCATGTTGTCGGATATGGGGTATAAACATTATATTTACTATTGCTTCTCAGGAAATGGAGTTTCAATAAAACAAGTAAACAGAAATTCTTGATGTATATATGTAGGTTCAACCAGAAGACTACTAGTAATAATTCTAATGGTGCTCCATATTAAATTAAGTTCTTATTGTATGCAATTATTATTCATTAAGAGATTGAGTTCTTGTGACAAAGCATACATGTACTATTCCTGAAATACAGTCATATTGAAACCTACTTGCATTTTATTATATACTGGTACTATATATCACCAAGTTTTCCAGCTTGGGATGGTAGGGTATTTCATGTATTTTATAGTCAAACATTGTTGTGTCGAACTAACAGTTGTCTTGAAGTAAAAGCTGGGTCCTTGCATATTCATTCTTTTTTCATTTTCGGTTGTGTCAAACCTTGTATAACTCGTAAGTACTTATGTAGGTCCCTTCGACTTTGACACAATGGTGTTTGACTGAAGTTGTAAACTTCAAGAAGAAAAGGGCACCTGCTATGTTCCCAAAGACAATGCCCTGTGAGGAGCTGGTCTGCAGCGCTGTAAGGAGTTGCCAGATGAGGATCAGGGGACGTGTGTGATCATAACTCATGCTATCCACTACAGGTTAGCCTGGCCTGTATTAAGGATTTACAGGATCGCCCCAATCATGTCAGCACCAGCATCACCTGCTCGTGCGTTTCTCCAAAATAGTAAACATCTGAGACCTTACAGGCCTCTCCTCACACATTAAGCTGATAGGCTGTGATATAACTGGAATTCTGTTAAAAGCAGCATTAAACTCACTCACTCATATCATGACCTGGCTGTCTTAGTAAACCATCATTCTCCAATTATGAACTATCTGTTCTGTCGTAGCCTCATACCAGAACCTGTTTATCGGGACTCGCCCCTTTCAGTAACCTGCAAGATGAATAGTCGCCTTTCAGTCGTTTCAGGCGTTGTGCAGAGCTGCATGCCATGTGCATGCTAGAAACCTATGATCATGGGTTTGAATACTGGTTCAGTCTGATTATGTTCCTAAGTTTGTCAACACCATACCCGTGCTCATGGATTTTACCAAAGTGATAAACGTCTGAGACATCTCTTAGGGCACCAAAATAGCAAACCAACCTTTATTGGGTTAAAAAATGGGGATCTGAATGGCTATTGATATTGGCTAGAAAGGCTCCCGTGACACGAGCCGTGTGCGGCCTGGCGTTATCTTGTTTGACAATCTCACGTTGGATCAATGGCAGGAAGGAGGTGTTCCTGCGAAAGTTCGTGCCTGTAACGTAAAGCCGTCAGATTTACCCCGCACGTGAACTATATTCGTACGTTTTGTGTAGGATATTTTCCCCCACATCATGACACTTCCTCCACCAAATCTGTCCACTTGACGTACACAATTAAGGGCAAAATGTTCGTTAACACGTCTGTAAACACGAATTCGACCATCACGTCTTTGTAAGAGAAAATGTCACGGATTCATAACAAAACCATATTCGACTCCAATGTCGCAGATTCCATATCTGAACGTAAGTACGTCAACGAACGCGTTGAAGGCGGTGATGACGTCACAAGACGTAGCCAAAGTAAGGTCTCGTGGCTCTCAATCCAACCTGGCGAAGACGATTCCGTAAGGTCTGGGCGGATATATCGTTCGTAGTCCTGGTTAATACAGCACCTGGATGTACCGATCTTCACCGGGTGTGAAGACTCGTGGTCGGCCGGAACGAGGAAGGTCATTGCTTGACCTAGAATGTTGAAACTGTACAACAAGAGTCAAGTCGTGCATGGGGTTCAAATTTGCAAGATCATAGTACGGCATATGTAGATAATCCCATGCGCATTTCAACAAGTTTAGAAGGGCGAAAGAAACAATATTCTTTGTAATGCAATCGGTTATGCATTTCTTTTCTTTTTTTGAGAGTACATTTGAACAATAATAAATAATTAATTTAAAATCACATAGTTGACCCTATCGCTCAGTGGGTAATTCAACAACTGGAAGACTGGGCAAATGTCAGCCGCGTTGCAAGCCTGTCACTTCTGTGTTCTGTCAACTTAATCATCAGTCATAAGTTTTGGATTCCGTTTTTATTAACTCGGGGCTACTATAAAAAAACAAAGATGTGACTTTCAAAGATGTGAAACCCTCCCCATGTGAATCGACCTCAATGTATCAGAGCTGGAACACAGCAATAAATATTATTTTGATGTGGTCACTTGTAGCCCGAACTGCTGCTTGCATCCACATTCATACCTTTGATTCATCAGGACGTTTAGTAACTCGCTTGTCTGTTTGCCGCAATCAGCAATATGCAAGCTAAAAATAACGGCATGTAAATAATCGAATATGGACCAGACAATCGAGTGACTGATATTGTGAACAATTATCCACGCCGTCAGGGTACGATGACGGGTACAAGTCACCGAGCCTGACAACCTGATCTGTTTTGTCGCCTCTTACGACCAGCATAGGTAGCTGCCGAAAGATTCTAAGATTCTTCCACATTGATCTGGCAGAATAATGACAGATGGTCATTTATGGAGATAATGTCGCTCTTGCCATTTGTTATTCTCTTGAAAATGTTTCGTTATCAACTGTAAATTTCTCATCAATCGAGATGAGATGGCAAAGCCCATTTTTGTTACTTGATCAGCGTGTATTCTTTCGTTTCCAACAACGATCTCTTAGATTTCAAGAGTATTTTTTGTTGAAGTTCATTTTGTATATGATCATATCCAGATGTATGATAACGGATTTTTTTTTAATTTTGCAAACAAGGAACCACTTTTTAAGTCGCAATTATTGATGAAACGTCCCTGCATGTGATATTTCACTCGACACATGGAATGTCCTCTCTTTATTACCCATGGGGATGGAAATAACTGAGTTCATAAACATGAAATGTGCACTATTGCAAATATAACTTCACGCGCACCTTTGTATGGTTGACGTCATCCGTACGGCATTATTGACGTCATGCAAATCCCATTGTGTCGCAGAGTCGGAATGACGTCACAACTGAAGCTGTTTTTCTCGTGATCAATTTTTTTTAAATAAAGCCCCCGTGACACTATCAAAAACTTTGATAAAAAAACTTGGTCAAAGTGAATTTCGACCAAGGGTTTGATAGTGTAACATGCCGTCAAAAACTTTGACAAAGCTTTTGACGGGACTTTGATGGAATAGAAACCGATCCTTTTTCTCGTCAAACTTTGATCAAAGTTTGATATAATTTAGCTAATCAGACTGCAAGGAACATTTACCCCTTTTGAACCGGAAGTGCATAGAGTCAAGTCAAAATGAGTCAACTATTTTGGACTGACGAGATGTTGGAAGAATTAATTGCTTTGTTTCAACAAAGACGTATATAAAACAACAACGAGCAGCCTTTGCCTACCCCGACGCCGCCTTCTCTACATGGCAATACACAGAATACATATGACAACAGCAAAAAAAACTCTTCGTCAGTAGCTACCACCTTGGCAAGATAATTCTACCAAAACTTTGACGGCCTGTCAAGAACTTTGATGAGTGTAAACAGTCCCACTTGGACCAAGAAAACTTGGTTTTTGATCAAAGTTTTTGATAGTGTAACGGGGGCTTTAAGGGGAGCTAGAAATAAAGGGTAAACAAGAAATAATTACACTCGCATATGTGTCATACTGATCGGGAAATACAAGAATTCCGTCTTCTCGTATAATAATCTTTATTTCTCTATATTTCTAACGTGCAACGACATTCCATTGGTGATGTCATACAGTGCGATGACGCCAGGCAACACAATGCAGTGACATCGTAGCTTAATAAAAATACTGAAACAACTCCTGTTCGCCTTTGCAGCAAGCAAAATAGGAATTTATGTTTGATTGACAAGTAACGTTTCTTTGATGACTTGTCTTTAAGTCAAGGATTCTCGGCTTAACCACTTCACATCGGTAAAAGATTGACTTGCAGTGTGTCGCTGGAACACTCCCATACACAACAGTCATAACTCAAGTTAGGCAGTGATTGTAAATTCATATGAGTGAGTGAGTATTGTTTTACGCCGCTTTTAGCAATATTCCAGCAATATCACGGCCCTGAAATGGGCTTCACACATTGTACCCTTGCGGGAATCGAACCCGGGTCTTCGGCGTGACGAGCGAACGCTTTAACCACTAGGCTACCCGACCGCCCCTAAAATCATATGAAGAGATATCCTTTAATTGTCGTGGGAAATCCTGTAACGTAGATTGTACACGTTGGCAATTTAGTGAAACCAACGAGAACGTATACACCTACAAGGCGCTGACAAACCTAAAATTAAGTGTCAGGGTGAGGGGTGGGATCGGATTTGGTATTCGAACCAGCAGTCCTGGGATTTTGACATGCCCAAGGGAGGCGATTATGTGTATTTATAAATGTGTAATTTTAATTTTGGAGTGATTTTCATATACTTAATTTATCAAAACAAGTAGTGTACGTGAAAAAAGTGTCATTGTGTCACCCGATGCTAAAATAGTCTGAAAGTACCAGAAGTTAGTTTCCAGAAGAGGTGAAATCATCCAACTGACAAGTTCATGCAGCTACACAATAAAGCATGTCGCAATATATGTGCAATAATCTTGAACGCAAAGCGACACCCCATTTCACCTCACCTCACCCATGCATAGAATGGTGGTGATGGGTTTCTTTCCTCCATAAAAAGCTACGCCTAAAGTGGAATAATTAAAGTGAGTGATGTTCTATTAACAAAAAGATCACCAGTTTAAACATTTTTTTCTTTGGGACACATGCGCTTCTTTGGAATCTATGCCTGCAGTTGGAATGAGACTTTTTTTGGGGTGTCCTTGTATATGTTTGGGTGTCAATGTTCAGTGATTCTACACACCTCTGTAAGCGAAGGGAAATGTTGGTTACTGATGTGCGTCCTTGATGCTGTGTATCGCAAATTTCAAAATCCGTGCTTTTTGTGTTGTGCTAATGTGACGTCATATATTTTATGGATGCTTCAACATTTGCAACGGAAGTTATCACGCTTGAGATTTTATGAACGCTTTGTTGACTTTCCGATGCCTCTAGATTTAGAGGCGTTACGTCACCTATGGAAGGGGTGATATGTGTAACATAAATTCTCTAAAAAGTAACACTCATGGTCAATAGCGTCCAACATTATGTTATGTTATTGACTATCATGAGGTTAATAGAATGACAAATTCGTTGTTGCATTTTTTGAAGTCATTCACCAAATTCTGGGCATGGTGATGCAGGGATTTATGGAGGGTTGAATTCCAAACTGAGTACCATTCGAAGCCATATTGGAAAAAACCCAAAATGCCTTTCATTTTTTTGGTTAAAGTTCATATTTCAATTTTTTTAGGTATCTTAACACTGCATTCAATGCAATGGACCTCGATCTCTATTGGTCCTGTTATCAGTGAAATTTAAGGCAACTAGGCAATTTTCTACATATATAAGGTGGTCTGTAAATAATCAAGTCTGGACCAGACAACCCAATGATTGACATCATGAACATCGATCTACGCAATTGTGACACAATGACAAAAAAAGGCTTCAACCAAGTCATTGACCCTAACCTGTTAGTCGGATGGGTTACTGAAGACATTTTGTAAAGCTGATGGGCTTACATGAAATCTAAACATTTGTCAGTTAAGAGAAGTTGCAGCCATTATGCTACCTAATGACAGGGTAATATGTGTAATAATATAGTGACAATTCTCCGAAAGATAGCAATCATGGCAATGGTCTTCACTATTTGTGCACAAGTTGGTAATATTATTGACTATCATCAGCCTAAAGAAAATAGAAATATTCATCACTACAATTATCTTCTGACTTTATTAAACAAATTAACTAGCATAGCAAGAATAAAAACAAAAACTCATGTTTTCATGATTCGATAGTTATGCATTTTTATTTCCTTTAAAATACAAAACAGAATAATGTTGCATTCGCCTTAAATATTGCATTTGTACATACATGATAAGACGAGATGAGCTGGCCTCTGTGCTCACCGTGGAATTTCTCGACACATGAATGACATCAGCTTTACTCAGTGCCCAACACAAGGTTCAAGCAGCATAGATGCGGGGAAATAGCGCATGATTTCAAAATAGTATTTTGATTTACATAATCTTACATTGACTTCAAGTGGGTGATTGCATGAGTGAGTGAGTCAGGTATTATGAGGTATAGAAACAGGGGCGTGTCATGCAAACTGATTAAACCCTAAAATAGACTTGAACAAAATGGACATTTGGCACATAGATCACTATATACGCTAGAGGAACACACAGATTTATGAAGCAAGGAATTGATGAGATATCAACACAAACAAGTTTAAGACATTGCATAATTGGAGGAAGAATGCCATATCTGGATGTCAAATGCCAATATTGACTAAAACAAAACAGTGGTAATCGATGAATGGTGTTATTTTATAACTGGACTGTAAAACTAAGAGGATGAGTCGATGAAATGATAAACATAACCATAAGGAAACATTTAAAACTTGAACATTGTACATACTTCAATAAACATTTGTGAAACTTCCATTCTTGATAGAAACAATCATATAGTTATCTGACCTTTGATTATGATTTCTTAATAATACTGACTAACGTTTCACAGAAAATGCTGAAAAGTAACACCGAATAAGTTTAGATTTCTTTTTAGACGAACTCACACTACGGTAAAATTGTTATTGAAAGAAAACCCTAGAAGTTGTTTAAAGATACAAAGGAAGATATTCAAATTAAAAATTTGATAGTGATATTTGTTTCTAATCTGTTCTTTTGTAAATGATATTCAATATCCAATAGACATATATTTGAGTTACATTTTACTCTCAAATAGCTTTTCGAGAATAGATAATGCACACTAATTAATATTTAGAAGACCATCATGGCATAACGTTTGAATTAAGACTTCAGTGAACACAACAGATGTATTGCACATGCAGGTAACCCAAATCTTATGCAGTTGAAAAAGTAACATAATCCCAACTTACTAAAACTAGGCCTGTAATCAGCATAGACCACTTTAAAACCATAATGGCAGTTATTTATTGCATATCAAGTTTATAATGAATTTAACACCAGTGTTGGTAGACCAGATCTCATGGTCAGACATACTGTATTCTGCAAGACTATTTCCTACCCTTTACCACAGACCATAATGTGTGGTCTATATGATCTGTATTTGGTCTCTACTTGATTATTACACTAACAATTTCCATGATGAACTCCTAAGCTGCGTGGTTGAGCTTAAATGAAAGATCAATCATAAAATCAAAACATCCACTGCTACTTGAAACATGGTTTTTCACGATAGTCATTCGTAACAATTTTCCTTCAGAGCTAATTTTTAAATGAAAGAAGCATAGTGACATCTTTCACACAGATTATAAGACAATAATATTATGATCTTAATTCAGAATGATGATCTCAGGAATGACAGCATTCGATATTACATATCTCAGTCTGAGACAGCTGGAACAGTATACGATATATATTCTGTGTATATCACAGACACCTGTAACCATGGTAACGGTTCCTGAAGCTTCTGATCTACCAACACAGAGATGAATATTGTCAGTGAAATGATAGGTACATGCACTGGATCACAGTTGGTGCCAATACCAGTTTGTCTACAAATGTACAACATTTCACAAAGCTGCTTATCATACAAGCCAACTGTGAAATAGGCGAGTGAAATTACACACAGATTGACATCATGGATATGTAAGAACATGGCGGTATGTTGGCATCCCTTGTCAAGGTTCCTGTGAAACATCTTCACAATTCACAGACCATCCGGTGACAGTTCAGATTAAGACCCTCACGTTACTTTCAAGCATTTCAACAAATGTAAATTTTGTTATTTGTGAAATACTTTAAGCCGATTTCAAGACATAAAAGCTATAAATTTCAATACATTCAGAAATATCTGATCAGTTTGAGTAAAAAGTTAATACATGTTTCCTCTTAAATTCAACAATCAGATTGCAGTGGTTGTCATTCCAACCAGCAGATGTTGAATATTTGGTTTGCCTATTTAGCAGTACTTTTTAACACTGATACATATATGGGCATGACATCTCCATGACAACACAGATCATGGAGACTCCCTGACCAGACATTCCAGGTGATCCTGTAGAAACACGGAGGGTCTTCACCTTGTAGTTAGGCTGTCTGTGTTACACCAAGGGATGGCCTGAAGTCACAGGGCTGGAGCACCTCGTATAACACAATGGGGCTTCTAGGTGGAAGAAAGTCTCTGTCACATACAAAGCCCTCATCAATGAGACTCACAAAACACTGACATGATGCACTTTTTTTCTTTATGAATGATTTTGGTAACATTTAGAATCACCGAGAATTTCTTACATCGCCCCCTGCCTACTAGCTTACAGTTTGTATAAACTGTCATTGGAACACCATGAGTCAGTCACAATAAGATTGTGCTTGTAAGTTCATAATGCATGGTCACCTTGACCTCAGAGTTGCAGGTCAATGTGACCCAAGTGCAGGTCAACACGACACTTTCGACCTGAACTCTATCAGTCCAACAAAACAGCAACTTATGGTTTAGCTATCTGTACAAACATCTATGAATGTCTTCAAACAAGAATACAGTATGTACACCTGGGGGGACCAGGCCTCTCTGTTGTGACTAGAAGCAGTCTTTACTCTGTATCAGTGGTAGTATAATCGTGTGTACACCTAATATAGCACCATCACAGAACTCTCAGTGCTGTCCCGACCCCTCCTTTGGGGGGAGAGGGGATGTCCAGGGGGGGGACAGCACACTTCATGTCCCACTTTCCAATGGGGGTCAGTAGAAAGACAAGCACTGGGCAAAACAAATAAAGCACCCATAACGTTTCACTTGTCATCTGGATCACCAACCACAGTATAGGAACATAGCACACTGTATGCATGGGGGTGGGGGTGGCAACCACCCATATTAAAACACCTTTCATCCTCCCTGAAAGGAAGCACCATTGTCACAGATGCCATTCTTTGCCCCTCACAGCTTGACCTTAACCTTGACCTGCTGAAGCAATATCAGCCATATCGTTGACTTGGTCAACGGCCATTCTTCAGAAATTAAACACAACTAAAACCTAATTTTCCAGTCCTACCTGGCTTGTTTGATAAATCTTATATTGTTCGCGTCATCTGAGAGTTCTGGGTAATCCTGGGGAGAACGGATGTACTCTCCTTCCCATCCGTTCACATGGCCATTGGCTTGAAGCTCTTTGGCGTCTTCGTCTTCCCATTCAAACCTTGTGGGTAGACTGTTCTGTATCAAGTACTTCTCCGTGTGCCACGCTGATGCCACAGCACGCTCCTTGGCATGGTGCAAGATTCGGTTCATCTCGTGGTCAATGTTGGTACCGTAGCGGATATTTATCACAGTGTGATTGCCATGGATACGAACATCTATCTCATCCCGACCTCGTCCAAAGCCATGACTTCTCTGATTCTTATGCACAGAAATATTGATGCCATTATCAAGCGTGACGAGATCAGTGGTGATGCCCAGTGTGCGGAGATCATCCTCAGCCTGGGTGTAGCTGGATTTGATGAAGTAATGAACGTCCTTTCCATGAATCGTGTAGTGGAGTTTGACCATCTGGGACTTGTTCAGGAGCACAGTCGCAAGCTTCCTCGCCCATTCAGAAGCAATGTCTGCCACATTGATAACAGCCTTGCCACTGACGATGGAGATGGTTACCCCCTCGCCAAATATTGCAAGGAGCGGTGCTGGTTTCTCACTCGGCAGACTCTGGAGGGGCGTGATCTTGGACTTTGGAACAGTTGAGATCGTCAGGAGGTTCAGCATGTCACGGTCAAAGGTGCACTCAAACGCCGAGGAGCTTGGGAGAAGCTGGAAGTCTGTGGTGGAAGGCTCCGGGTGGAGTATTCCGGTGTAGGACACATCGGGAGCCATGCTCTTGATGTCGTAGCCCAACACTGACAACCAGCTCGTGAGGTCTGTGAATACAAGAGAGTGAGTGAGTGACTTCCACCATTGCAAGCTGCAGCATCAGATGACATGCCACCCACCCATCCCACTGCTGACACCATAGAAAGTTTTGGGAATATGTTGATATAATGACATCAATGCACGGATGAGAATTTTCTATGTATTTCATTACATCAAAGGCCAATTTTGTGATACATGCCCTTACAACATACACATAAATCATTTAGCACCCAATCGCCCTTGGCTAACTTTCAGTGTTTTTCAAAAACAACCCCATGCTCATATATTTACTCCTATGCTTCAAGATCCCCTCTACAATAGTAACCTGAAGGTACATATTCCAGACCCATGGAAAGTGTGTGTATACAGAATTTAAATTCTTCCATATCATTTACAATTGCTCACATGAAATGGTGTGTTTTACCATGGATCCGAGTCCTACCATGGATCCGAGTCCTACCATAAATCTGAGTCTTACCATGGATCCAAGTCTTACCATAAATCCGAGTCTTACCATGGATCCAAGTCCTACCATAAATCCAAATCTTACCATGGATCCAAGTCTCACTGAGAACTACAGCGGATCCTAGTATGTTTGTGGTACATATGTATCACTACTTAACCACTAAAGAGGACAGTTAACTCACCTGTGCGGGGCAACTTTTCCTTGGCCATGTGGAGGTTGATGAAGTTGCGGAACTGGTACAAGTTGAGGATCTCAGGCAGAGAGATGACATCTTCCAGTTTATCAAACATGCCCGCATAGTCTGGGGACAGCCACCGTCCAATCTGAGTGTCGTAGACCCTCTTTGGGAAGTGGGCCAGCAGTGTGACCGGGTTATAGATGGCGCCCTGGAAACCGAACACCAGCTCAAAGTTGGGGTTGGTGTCCTGTTCCAGCAGCCCAAGGGGCGTGTAGCTGCACTGCTTGATGGTATAGCCTTGTTCGTCAAACACCACCAGCGGACTGCCATTGGGATCGGAGGCAATGTAGTACACTTTGTTGTTACGTTCCATGGCTAACAACCTCTGATCACGGTCATACAGGTAGAGGGTCACTTCGGCTGAAGTGTGGTTGTAGGTATGGGTGACCTGCTTGGAGTCCTGGACGTTGGAATAGAAGAACTGCACTGTCCTGCCATACATGTCTTTCTGGACTGACAGTCTCCCTTCAGAGTCATAGTAGTAGGAGAACCTGTACTTGTCCCGCTTGGAGACGGAGATCAGATTGCTGAGGGAGTCAAACAGGAGATGTTCTTTGCCTCTTTGAGCCATGAACCCGTCCTTGTCAAACTTGTACCACATCTCTCCGAACTTCTCGATCCTGTCCCCGACATCGAACTCCAAGTCCTTTATCTTCTTGTGTTCCGTGATCTTGAAGATGTTGCCGTTGGCATCATAGCCATATTGCCAGGCTGATTGACCTTCCAGTAGCACATCCTTCATGTTGTTATCAATGTCATAAATGTACTCGATCGCCTTTTGGTCTGTCTGACCAATCCTACGTCGCCACTGATGAATTCTGTTCAACTGGTCGTAATTGATTTGCAAGGTGAAGCGAACATTTTCTGCAAATTTGAATTGAATGTCTCTCATTCTGCCGTAGCTATCATACTCTCGAATGATGTTGATACTGCCGATATTGAGAACCTCCTTGTCCTGGGCAGCCCACTTAATGTCAATAGTTTTGACCTTTGACAGTTTGCCATTGATGTCACTGTAGGTGTTGTTGCTGATCAGAGTGACGTTGTTGGTGAAGACGGCAACTGTTGCGATTAGTCGGAAGTTGTTGTCATAGTCGTGAGTGAAGTTGACTCCAAGAAGGTCCTGGTCGTGGGGGAAGCTGACGGTCATGGTCTTCACCAGGGAGCTGATGTAGCTGTAGTTGGCAATGTAGCTGTACCCGGACATCTTGAGGGCGGTGCTAGCGAGTCTCTGCACATCTGGGTTGTACACAAACTTAACACTGGTCTTGTCAAATAGAATCTCTGATCTCTGGAAATGATTGTTGTAGCGGTAGTACACACATCGCTGCTCACCAGGATGGCGCACATGTTTCAGTTTACCATTGGTGTCGTAGTCCATGATGAAGGGCAGATCTATCCCTGGTGGCTGGTACAGGTAGCGTTGAATACCAAGGGAAAGAACTCTGTGGAACAGGTGCTTGCCCAGGACAGGAGTGGTGACTGCAGCCAGGTGTCCCTCTGTGTCATGTTCAAATAGGTACTGCTTTCCACTTGGGAGAATGATATCAGTTGGCTGGAAGAGTTGGAATAGAAAATTCAGGATTATAAATCAAGCATGTAATGAAAGCAGTCAAAGAGAAAAAAAAGCTATTAAATGTAAGTATTAAGAGTCTCAGTAGAAGCTTTTCTCCTTTCTTTATCAGGAATCAAAGGAAAATATATAAACCTGCAAAATATGATCTACAGTATTGAGGGTTCCTGTTTTACAATTAAGGTATTGACAATATTTGCATCATGATGACACGCTACATTGATCAACTATACAGCAGTATCTCATGCTGTTTCAGTGGACCACTCACCTTTGAGAAGCACAAACAAGCACATGTGAAAACAATTCATAGTTAAAATGATACAACTTTTCAAAGGGTAACATGTGTTTTAAGTACATTGGCAACGAATCTCTGTCCCTGATGCAAAAAGACCTGCTCCTAAATCCCACAAACCTTCTTTGACCCGTATCTGTAGAAGTATCGGAACTGTGCCCCATTTGTGGACGTCCTCTCAGTGAGCACCCCCTTCTCATACTGCCGAGTTTCGCGCAACTCCCCGTACTGCCACTGAGTGATGTCGCCGCGGGGGCTGTACGTGATGTTCATGGCGTGGTGACCCGTTGCGGGCAGGAAGTGCGACGGCAGGCCGGAACTGTCGTAAACGATCGTCAGAATCTCTCGCAGAGTCTTGTCCATAATAGTTTCCATGTGGGTTTTCCGGTCATACTCCATTGTCAAGAGATTCTCTCCATTGATCTGAAACCAAACAATCAGCCCTATGTTCTTGCTATCTCCTTAGCTCCAAATACATCATGTAACCATGGCAATATACTTTAAGGGACGTGCTTTTTAGCTAACATCAGCTTTTTTGTGCTCTAGACGAGTGAATTTAAACCATTTGGTCTGATTTGTTTTACTCATGAATATTTGAATATTAAACAATACAAATCTATTTTGTTAAACATGTTCATGTCTACATATTTTATTATTGGGAACAATGTCTCCATGTTGTTAGTACTTGAACCTCTCACGAACCTATATTATAGTACTAAAAAGAAGTTAAAGAACACCCACTTGTTTCTTATGAAAATATTGGGTGTTTACAACTTCTTTATATTTGTACACATTGTAGCATTAAGGGGCAGGTATCACTGATCATTACTTGAACAGTTCATTTGACAAACAAGAGGTCAGAAATACCGGAGATATCATTCAGCCCTTTAGTATAGTGTGGCCCAAATTTTGCACCCACAACTGACAGTGTAGTGTTAATAGACAACAAATGGTGGCACTCAACATCTTGTGGACAGTAAAGCTGGTTGTTAACGATACACACATCTACAGATATCTATTTGTTAGGAGACAATGTAAAGTTTACACGCGACTTCGTTGTCGAAAGTAGTCCAGGAATGTTAGTTCCACATATCAGTGCTCTGTGGGGATTATTTTTTCTCAGAATTGACTCCATAAAGTGACATCATGCTTTTCTTGCAGTACAGCCAGAAGATAAATGGAAGAAGTGGAGAGTGTTGGTTTCTGCATATACACCTTTCATGCCTCATCTAGGGGAGGACTGCCTATCTATGCAATTGCTTACAGTGTTCTAATGTATATATCTGGATTTGTTTAGGTCTCATGTCTTGAAAAATAAAACACAAAATAAATGTATATACAGTATGTGAAACAAAAGATTCATTATTCTCGAAAATATATGGAATGTTAAATATCTATTAAAAATATTAGATAAATTATATTAATAAATCTGTTAGAATCATAATCAAAGTAATTATATTAAAATTAAAATTTCAACAAAAATTAAAACGCTGTGAAAGCAAACTGTACTTATACATCAAACAAAATTTTAAACTTCAAATATGAAATCAGTATAATAATTAGCATGCATACACAACTTACTAGAACAAACAAGAATCAAATCTTTAACATGAGACCCAACTTGTTTTCTTTCAGAGAATCTAACAATACGGGTTTCAGCTATATGTTGTCTTGTACTACCTCATGCTTGTGGAAAGGGGGTAGACATTTGTACGGAGATTGTCATTAGTTGGATCTAACATAAATGTCTCCGTTGATGCAGGTAAATCTTCAAATTATCTCCCCTGACCAGCCATTCTGCTTTTGCTTCCACCAAGGTCAGTCTGTGTTTGTGTTTCAAGGTCAACGAAAAACCATTCATGATGTGAGTGAAGCATGGTTATTATGATGGTGTAAGAATCGCCCACTTACAAAAACGTCCATCCTCGGAACCAGTGGCTGCAAGTTTTCACATGGTGTAGTCAAGCATGTTTCACCACCAACAGTTACAAAGCCAACATACTTCACAAAACTTAACAAAAACAACTTGCAGGTTGAGATTTTTAACAGTGAGGGTTTAACAGACATAGCTCTCACGCAGCCGTCTATAAGTACCCTCGGAAAACAGGCACAATATCGCCAAACTCCTTTTTTTTCTCCAACATTTCAAGCACTTCAGGTTCATAGGAAACTGTTTGAAACAGGGTTGCGATTTGGAACTACAATACTACAGTTACCATGGCAACATACATGAAGCCTGTGTCACGTAGACAATATGCGCGGGAAAACAACACTAAACATCCAATCAGAAATTTCAACACAGACTGACGTTGTCAACCAAAGCACAATAGACCCAATCAGACGATATGAGAATATCACCCTGTAATCTGTCTGTAACATAGCCCCATATGTCTTGGAAATGTCCTTGCCAAATTCACAGATGCCTTTCGGAGATTCATTGAGTTTCAGGAATATGAAATTTTGGACATCGACAAGAAAAGGCTGCGGCAAGGACAGTTAATCAAGGCTATGCTATCGACAGATTTCTTAATGTCATTACTGTACAACTCTTTCACAACCATATACAGCTATGGACTGTTCCATTGTGTGGAAGCTACCATTGACAGATAGGGGGGGAAAGAGTGCAACCTGCAGCAAAGGACTCAATTTTCTGGTGTTCAAGCCAGACGGCACAGTTGCCGTGCACGATGATATGCTTGTGCACCAGAAAATAGAACACTCAGTACCAACAGTGATAAACCCCAAAAAATAAACACTTTGGTAAAATATAATTAAATAATACTTTGTCTTGGCAGGACTCTTACCATTAATAAGAACTTAACAAACTCTTAAATATAATAAAATTAAACTTGAAAACATGAAAATCATATATATGATACTATTAGGAACAACACCTTTTTTGTAATATCTCAAACATTAACAATTTAAGGTACAAAGAACATGTTTAAAATATAAAATGAAACAAAACGTCAATATACTTTGGAGATGTGAAAGGTTATCACTGTTGATTCTGTGTGTTAATGATTACGCACGAGATGTAAAAACATACCAAGAGAGCTTTTTCCTTGATTCCATCCTCATGCCAATCATGCATGTGCGCATGCCGTGAAAACGGGGATCCTACCCTCAATCGTTGACCGATCTTTTCGATGATTCGACTCTGCCGACTCCTACCCTTGCGGCGTAAATAGAAGCGCCATTCCAGTCGGTGAATGTACGCCCCCGGTATGATCACCTTCCTTTTGTAATGCATGCGGTGCTCGTTCTCCATGATTGGGTGTCCTCCTGTTTCTATAGCAACAGTCAGGTTGCTAGGGAACAGCACCACAACAGCTCCTCCAGGCAGGTACGTCACTTTCGTCTGGGTCGATCCTGAAAAATCCAAATCGGTTTCACTAAAGCTGAACATAGGGTGAAGACATCTTTTTAACCATAATATTCTACAATGTGAGTTTTCGACAATCTTCAGACACAATTAGGTTTTTAAGAGGAGTGATCAACAGCAGCCTGTTGTAGTTTTTAGCGAAAAGAAAAGAAATGCACAACATAGACTTGACGAGAGAGGGCGTGAGAGAAGCCACGTAGATTTCGGCCATCACTATGTCGCGCTATCAGACTTAAGGCAGTGCTAACGCTGCTGTAGAGGGAGATACATTCACGCCCTAGTGGAGGAACAGTGATACAAGAGGAGGTAACTCAAAAATAAATCTTCTCTTATCAACTAAACGCAACAGGCAGTAGAAGGCTTTGCTCATGCTTAGAAACATACAAGTTATTCTGTGACGGTTTTCGGCATGAGTGAATATTTACAACAAATCAAACTAAAGAGAAACGTCTTTGCTTATCTTTACAAATCAAAACTAAAGAACATGTGGAATGTGAAGAGAGTGGACGACTTCGGGGCATGCATTGACATTTGCAGAGAATATATGGCAAAAATGCTCTAAGACTGCAAGGCTCTAAGAGAGCACAAATGGAGGACAACAGATTGATGCTTGAGAACAATTTCGTGCTTCATGCTGCACAGCCTCATTCCACTAATATTCCACAAAGCTCATTTGTATTTCTAAATGTGCAACTTTAAATTAGACTGTCGTTATACACATGTACTACATGTTATAATAAACTAACACACTAGACAAGTCAGTGAGTACCTCTCATCTGAAATAAGACTGCAGAGATATTTCATTTTCATGGATAATATCAAAATGGATGAAATTTTCAAAACATTCAATATTGTTGGTATAAAGCATGCAGAATACAAGAGTAAAGTTCAGAAGCAGTTCCTTGATAAAAGCCAGATAATACGGCAAGATCTATACCCGCATAAAACAAATAGAAACATCAAAGAGTGATGCGTTAAAGGCAGTGACAACATTTGCAGATCATATCATGTTGGTGAAATGATATTAATCCTTAAGTGTCCGAACTAGAGCACGTTACTATAGATTCTATACATAACTCATCACCAGTTTACTGAATATTGAAATATTGAAATTGAGCTTTGTGAAACTTGAAATACAAGTCGCTATACAGAGTGGCGGTGCAGAACTGACTAGAAAGATGCAGAGAATGGTCATTCAAAGTTCAAAGTTGAAAGATGTTACACTTTGTAAGCTTTGTGGGTGATATTCAGAAGGCATGCACACCATAATTAGTCAGAATAAGAAAATCAGACATAATTTTAAAATTTGAGAAAACATCAAAATGGTCAAAATAGGTTTCTGTGTTGTCTACTGATTATACAAGTTTTAATAGAAATCAAACATTTTCTATTCAAAATAAAACAAAAGTTTACAGCAAAATCATATTTTGCTACTCTAAACCTTTACCCCACAACTTGGAGAGATTGCCATCCTCCTTTCCTAAAATAATGAGATGTGATTTAAGAATTGTAATGCTCAAATATATCATGTTGCTTTTCTAACATGATTCTTTGGTCACAAAACAGTCCAAATAGTTTCATATTCATATCATTTATGGGTAATATTGATGATTGAACAATTAGTTGTGGGGAAGGTAGGACAGTGCTCAATCTATGATCATGTGATCAATCTATGATCTCTTTCCAAAACTGTTTCAGTCAATTAGTTTTTACCTGATATCAATGTCAAATGGGTATATATTTTAATGCTTTCAGTCTAAAATAGTTGGGACAAACATTTAAACATGTTTTTGATATCTATTTACAATATGATTATTTGTAATTTGGTAATTTGACTTCTATAAATAATGACATTGAAAATTTGAAAATCTGATTTCGATCCATATGATTACCGGTACTTGAAATTTGAAAAGAAATCCATCAAAAGAACTATTTAATGGGAAAATGTTGAAATTGTAAACAATGTCCCTTTCTGAGGTCTCGTTTTCCTGGAAATATCTGTAATATGTACATAGAGATTGAGCATCGTCGTCCTATTGGTTGCCAGCAACTGCTGTTTATTTGTGTTTATCATAGGTGGAATGCAAGCACTTGCCATGCATGACAGATTGCACGCTCCCATAGGTCGCCATAGCAACCACATCACTGCTATCTGTAGTGACATGAACAATGGAACCTGTTGTGTTCACGTCGGTCTGCAGACGAGTTATCTCCCCTGTCGGTTGACTGATGGTGAGTAGTCGGCCCATGTCGTCGTACTCGTATTTGAAGGTCTGGCCGTCGGAAGTGTGCTTGGACTCCAAGAGGTCTGTGCTCATCATGTAGGTGAAGGTTGCAGTCATGTTGTTTGGGGCCGTGTAGCGATAGAGGTGGCGTTCGTTGTCCATCATGAGTTCACACTTGGCGTTATTCGGGGTGATTATTTCTTTAGCATGTGTGTCATATCCGCGGACGATTATCAGACTATTGCCAGCACTGTCGATTACAGATTTGACCTTGCCATAAAAGGAGTTGACATTGTAGGTGAAGTTGTACATGTACTGATTGGTCATAATGCTGATGGTGTGCTGGTGTTGTCCGTAGCGGTTAAATATGAAGATTTCCTGGGTTTCAGGGGAGACAACTTCATACTGCTGATTCACACTGCGTTCCGGAAGCTCAGACACGATGGAGAACACCCTGAGATTTCCCATGTCGGCGATGTGCATAATGCCGTCAGGTGTCACAGTGATCGACTTGGGCGTGTTGAACAGAGCCTGAGCGGCCAGGCGTTCTTTCATCACATAACATGGACATGTCTTCTTCTGACAATCGCACTTGGATTTCGCCCCAGCAAAGTGATGTATCAATCCGTCAGTTGTGACAACACGAACTCGGTTGATGTGATGCGTGTCACTCTCGACAATGTAGAGGTCGCCATGAGGTGAAAAGGTGATGGACTCGGGCGACACCAGGGTCACGTGATCAGCGATGCTTGTTGCCTGTTCATCGTCGGACAAGACGCCAGCTGGAAAGAAGTTTGTTTGGCGAGGAGGGCAGTAGGCTGGACGTCCCGCCACTGTGACCAGCTTGTAGTCCTTGGTCAGCTTCAGCACAATGCTGTGATCAAGAATGTGCAGGGTGTCATCAAGGGGATCAATTGCAAGAGCTGTCGGCCATCGCAAGCTAACCTGAAACACAGGGAAGGGTATTAGTCTTAGCAGTCAACTGAGGGCAGACTTTTGTTTGGTTTATAAATCCACCGACTCCCAAAAACAGAAAATGAAAACCAAATGAAAAAATGAAAAGAAATAAGTGAAGTGTTAAAAAAACCCATCCGAGCATGTCATCGGCTGTTGGTCTCAATGCAAATACATTATTTGATATATTATTATTAAAACCTGTTGAAAATGTATCATAAAAACTCCAGTCCCGACCATTTCCCCCCAAACCTACATAGTTATGAGGGAATTAATAGTATATCTATGAAGTGTAGTTTTTACATTTATATTTTTTGTGACCTACCAACCTGAGTACCGGTATATGGGCCACAAATTCAAGGGAAAAAAAAGGCATCAAGCCTCCTACCTGTATTTATTATTTGAAAAACAGGCCACGGCAAGATAACTGAGTATAAACAGAATAAATTGATCTGTAAAGATATACCCTCTCTGCGGACAGAATGTCATCACAAGGCATGGGCGTCCACTCCCTCAGTTGTTCCTGGGTGCCGATCAGCGTGGTGATGTAGCCGTCAGCGGTGATCTTCCGGATGTTGGGGCCGTCAGCCACATAGATGACCCCTTCCTTGTTGATGGCAATACCTAAAACAGGAAGATACTCAATGAGCACATACATCCGACATGCCACAACAATATCATTAGAGACCTTGTGACGGTAGTTACTATTGATAGTTTGTTGTCTATTTTGTTGTTTAATACTACACTCAACATTATTCCATCTAACAGTTTATGATAGTGGCTATAAATAATCAAATAGACCAGACAATCCTGTGATTGATATTGGGATCCAAGCTGTCGGGGTACGATGACACACCAACAACCAAGTCGACAATCCAATTGGTTGCCTATCTTGCTTGGGACCATTCCTAATCCTGACTTCCCCAAGGGTTATAATTGAAAGATGACAGTTAACAAACATGACAGTGTTACCTTTAGGATGTCGGAGCCGGGCCTGTATGGCCATCTGACCGTCCCCGCACAGATCGGCCTCGCCAGGGGTGCACTCCTCCCCGTTGCCTGCCACGGCCTCCAGGTTGTCCTTGAGGTCTCGCACCGGCCCCATGGTCTTCACTCGGATCACCTTATGGCTCATGAAGTCGGAGATGTACAGACGTCCATCCACGGGGCTCACGGTCATGTAGAACTTGTAGGGCACGGACTGTGTGCTGTAGGAGGATCAGGTCAAGTTGAGGAGAATGTGGATCAAAGAATAACACAACCAGGAAAACATGAGATAAAAAAGCGTTTTAAAAAAATCGGACGTCAATGTTTTCATTTAAACTGTCACAATGTGGAAATCTAAACTCCAAACATTCAAAGACTATAAACATATTTTAGAAACAAAGGAAAAGTGAGTGAGTGAGTATGGTTTTACGCCTCTTTTAGCAATATTCCAGCAATATCATGGCGGGGACACCAAAAACGAGCTTCACACAGTGTACCCATGTCAGGAATCGAACCTGGGTCTTCGGTGTGATGAACAAGCACTTTAACCACTTGGCTACACGACCGCCCCCCAAAGGAAAAGAAGGTGAAGGTGAAGACCTTCTGGTCATCTTGTGACCTGTACAGCCTCCCATCCAAACCTACCTCATCTCCAGTATGCTGGCAATCTCCTCCCTGTCTGGCGACAGCTTTCTAATGAAGTTGTAATCTCCCACATACAGACTGCCATCCAGCCCACTTGCCAGCGCCACTGGTGCCAGAAGACGGTTCTCTTGAGCCTTGCCATTACAGGCATCACAATAAAGGTTGCGGCGGTTGCCATTACCGAGGATGTTGATGATGCGTTTGGGTTTCTCCTTGAGGTAGATGTTGGTGCCGTCACCCTTGTGAAGGATGCCCTCCTGGAAATTGTAGGTGTGGTGGATGTCAAGGTTCCAGCCGCCGATCTCGGAGGAGGTCAGGTCAAACCCATTGACCGTGGTGCTCCTTGTCTCCCAGAAGATGTACTCACATTCCTGATACTGATAACCCACATACACTGAAATACAGAGACAAAAGGTGAGTGAGAGATTCTAAGCCAGTTAGCATCATACCAGCTACAATACCAGCCTGTAAATAATCAAGTCTGGAGCAGGCAAACTAGTGTGAATAAATCCTATTAATTTGTAAACTCTTGGTTTTGAATCCACTTTTTTGTTTTTTTACAATGTAGTTTCCCACCCAAACATGGTACACTCACCTCTTGCCGTCACTATCCCGTAGACCTTCTGGTTGAATGCGTTCCGTCGGTTCCAGGAGAAGGTGTACTTGAGAAGGGGATCGGCCTCGAAGGTTTTCTCCAGGACCACGCCTTCCACGGACACCCTGAGGTGGACGAGGGAGAGGTTTTCTGGGATGGTGGTGGGGGTCATCTGGATCAGGATGAGGGACATGTAGCCCAGGGACTCGCTGCTGTGGTACACCAGGTGCACCTTGGTTCCAGGCAGGTCAAGGCTCTCCTGCAGGACCTGCAATATAAGGTGAGTCGCATCAGCAGGCCAAGGAGTGATTTGCAAGGGCAGATCCAGCATTTTTAAAAGGGAGGTCCAAAGTATCAAAATGATCTCTCTGGTAATTTTACTGCCTACAACATACTACATTTGGTTTTCAAAAAGGGGGTCCCCCATGTACCCTCCCCCTGGATCTGCCTATGATTTGAACCCATTATCAGTGGCTTCAGGTACATTAAGTGAAGCTACACATCCTGCCTTCACCCACCTGTGACTCTGGAATGATGGTGCTCTTCTCTGGGCAGGCTCCTAGCTGTGTGTGTTGCCAGGTGGACAGAACCACAGGCTTCAGGAGGTAGTGCTGGTGCTCAGTGATGCAGTCCTCAGGGAACAGATGGTCAGGTTCCTCCTTGGTGAGTGTCATGATCACTGTATCCATGGTGATGATCTGGTTCCATGGTGTCAGAACACTTGCAGACTTGGTTACAAATGGCTGTCTGATGAACTCGAGTTCCACTGAACCTCCGCCATTAACGAGGATGTCAAATCTGCAAACAAGTTCATACACCATGAATGTTGACCCAGATCATGTCTACAAACCCAATGAGGTGAATAAGTTGACTCAATGAGACTTTCCTGCATATACAAGTCAGGCCTGGACCCAACAAACCAATGATCACATTATTAGCACTGATCCAGCCCATCAGGCTAGGCTAGGTTGACACCCTTAATGAGTCAATTCACAATACCCAGCATACATCTGATGCTCATGTAATCTCTGGCACCAAGAACTGGGATTTGTAAACGCTTTCTACTTATTCCAATGAAAATCACATTAAGTATATGAAAATCAACTAGTCTTAATACATTGGCTTTGGTTTTTCCATGTCACAGTTCTGTCCCAGTGCATTAGACAGCTGGTCAATTTAAACCCGATTGTAGATTTTTCAAGGGAATGCACTGTGTGTGAATCAAACTTAGTCCCTCTTATACTGGTCAGGCATCAAATTTGTTTGTTTTTCAGTTATACAATACTGTCTTGTGTCAAGCTGGGCAGTGGGTGAGGAACACTTTCGAATGTCTGCCGGCCACATGGTATACACTAGTGGTGGTACAATACACTGATCCAACGGTGGATCGCGATGTTTTACTTCTCAATACAAGTATCGATCACAGTCGCACACTAAGTAAAAAATATCGATTCTGACCTTAAATGTTTGCTTGAATAAGTGTTCCACTAAACACTAATCTGTCATGCAAGTTAATAGTGAAAATATACATATTTTCATTTGTTCTGCCACACTTGACACTGCCAACTGTAAATCATCATCAGTGTGCCAGGTATTTGGCCATCCTCTCTAAGAAGAAGATGGCTTAATTACACACCACAGATAAGAGCACAAGCAAGTATCGTGACACATATCAGATCGTGAGCAAAGTATCGTGATACATATCAGATCGTGAGCAAGGTATCGGTATACATATCGGATTGTGAGCAGGGTATCGGTATACATATCGGATCATGAGCAAAGTATCGTGACACATATCGGATCATGAGCAAGGTATCGGTATACATATCGGATCATGAGCAAAGTATCATGATACATATCGGATCATGAGCAAGGTATTGGTATACATATCGGATCATGAGCAAAGTATCGTGACACATATTGGATCATGAGCAAAGTGTCGTGATACATATCGGATCATGAGCAAGGTATTGGTATACATATCGGATCATGAGCAAAGTATCGTGACACATATTGGATCATGAGCAAAGTAGTGGATACATATCGGATCATGAGCAAGGTATTGGTATACATATCGGATCATGAGCAAAGTATCGTGACACATATTGGATCATGAGCAAAGTATCGTGATACATATCGGATCATGAGCAGGTATTGGTATACATATCGGATCATGAGCAAAGTATCGTGACACATATTGGATCATGAGCAAAGTAGTGGATACATATCGGATCATGAGCAAGGTATTGGTATACATATCGGATCATGAGCAAAGTATCGTGACACATATTGGATCATGAGCAAAGTAGTGGATACATATCGGATCATGAGCAAAGTAGTGGATACATATCGGATCATGAGCAAAGTAGTGGATACATATCGGAACGCACAGTTGGTGTATCATCCCAGCCCAAGTACACACCTGCTGACAGTTTATTACAAAACAAGATCTGTCTAAATGGGGACATTTTCTGTGAATTGCATGCAAGTATACACCCTTACACACAAAATCAGGGAAGCAATTACAAAGCCTAAAAGTCTTTATAACCCTACAGCTCGGTGTTCATAACAAACACTATGTCCATGCAAATGGTAAGAATTTGTTACTTCTTACACTGGTACAAATTACTTCCACCATGTGAGAATTCTCAGTTGGAATAGGTCCCCACAAAGCTGTGCTGGTTGTAAGACGTGACCAAATGGATCCGGTGGTCAGTGTCGGTCACTTGGTTGATGGCATGCCATCATTACCATACCGCACGGATTGTTGCTTACAATATCAATCACTGGATTGTCTAGTCCACTTATTCACCGGATGCCATCACATAGCTGGATTGCTGCTGAAAGTGGCGTTAAACAAAGAAACAAACAAATACTTACACTCCCTCCTTTCTTGTCAGGGTAAATCCATAAAGAGGCTGTGCAACAATTTCAACCTTGACACCAATCAGAGGTGTTCCGTCTTTGGTTGTCACTCGTCCACGGATGACTGACACTTGGCTGCAAGAAAACAATATTCTTGAAATATCTTTGCTGTCAAAATTAAAGATCAAGCAATACAAGTAGAACTGACAATTACAAAGAATTTTTTTTTGCTGTGAAACCATTACATTAACAAAACATTAACATTCAAATCCAATATCCAAAGATCAATAACACAAAAACATATTGGTAGGATAGAACCCATTAAGGCACAGTGGATATGTGGCTAAACACTCAGAAAAGGAAACTTGGATTACCTCCCTTGCATTGACTTCATGACACAACATTGTAGAATGCAAAAATGCTTTGAAAGATTCACACGGTCATGTTCACAATCAATATCATGACCCTGGATATTATTCTTTGTAAAGATTCAACAATCAAATTATCAAGATTATATACCCGGTACATCATAGCCAGCAAAATTCAACAGCAATTTTGTTTACAAAACTAAGCAGTTAATTAGAGAATCACTGAAGGTAAACAAACTCAACACTTTCAATCATGATTGTGTTTTAACCTTCAGTAAACCCCAGATGATATCCAATAGTGTTATAACACTACATCATCTCTGGACTGGGTGAAAAACAACACAGAAGATGGAGAAAATGAACCTAACAACACCGAAATCCGATCTAGGAACACTCAGTTCGTGTGAAAATATGTGATAGTTAGCAAGCTGCCCTACAGCCCAAATTTATAAACACGTGAAATCTCCAACACCAACTTGGGCGGTCCACTGATCTTACAGATAACAGCAAAATAACCAACCTTGCACCAGTATGTTTCATCCCGGGTAAAAACCCAATATCACATGAACTACACCAGCTTCATCTTAAGGAAGTGCGACAAGTTCAAAGACAAGCCATGTTCCACCTATCCAATTGGGCCAAACATAATCTGATTTAATTTTCCATCCAAATTCAGTTTAAGGTCTGAAGTAACAGATTTTTTGGATTACGATCAAAATCAATTTACACAGATCAAAACCCAGATAGCATCTTTCAAGTTTTCTTTTCACAAAGGTGGTACTATGTACACAGAGATAATATGTTTAAATTTTGACAGAAACCAAGCAACAGCACACGGCAAGACAATCCGACTTTCATCCTGTGTTGAGGATGTGGGTTTTTGGGGTAATTACACCGACAGATATCAGATCGCAAGTTGCATGAGATTTAACAAAACTCCAAGGAGACTGGAATAACACAATTGCATGCGGACTTCATCCACAGCTTTGAAGTAATGAGAATGGTTAGGGAATAGTTTCTTAATTGCGTGGCAGGGGACTATGACGAGAACCTGTCATAAGAGCAACCCACAATCACTGAAGGAATAATCATTTTTACTTGTTAAGAATACAACATAATTGCTAGCCAAAGGGCTATATCCTGAACCTATGGATTTCTGAATAGAGAAAACTGCCCTAGCGTGTTATCCAACATTCTTCCACTGTTTTATAAATCGTTATGAGGTGCAAACTTCGCAAATTTCATTGGACTTTTCTTCATTATTCTCATGATTGTGATCTGTTGGCGTAATACAGCATGGGGAATGGGTGAGGTAAGGGGAAAATGGGTGAGGTAAGGGGTTTAATGTGGTGTTCAAGATTATTGCCCTTATGCAGTGATGTGCATGTGTGCGTACGCTTGTACTTGTCCTAATGCCAGTTTGACAGTGCTAGCCCACCGAGATACAATGCCGTTTTAACACGGGTACCCCACTCAAACACAGTATACTCCAAGGTGACCAGTCCTTGTTTTATCCCCTAAATGCCGAGCACCAGGCAGGGTAACAACAAGTTTCAAATTTTTAACATTTATTGGTATGATGCGGCGGGGATTGAACCACCGACCTTTTGCTCTCAAGGCGGACACTATCACTAGACCTAGGAGGCAGTCTCTCAAGACTGTGACCTGTCACCTTTATACACTTTGTTGAATAGAACTGATGAAGTTTGTATTATGGATAGTGTCGTGGGTTCACAGCTGGCCGCTTTGCAGGCCCTGGTTTAGTTCTCTGTATGGGTAGATAAGTGAGTGAGTGAGTGAGTTGGGTTGGGTTTAACGACGCTTTTAACAGTATTCGAGTTATATCGTGGCTTGGCAGCTTAATGTGGGAGGAAGCCTGAAGTGATGCAGGTCTCAAACATTTACCACTTTGGTGAAACCCACGAGCACAAGTATGGCGCTGACAAACCTAGAAACATAATTGGGGCAAACTGGGATTCAAACCAACAATCATAGGTTTCTAGCATGCCCAAGGGACGCAACTCTGCACAGCCAATCGCGGCACCTTAGAAGACTGGGCCACCCGTGCCCCCCTATGGGTAGATGACCTTGACATAGCTAGGGCTGTGACTACATTTTGGTGAGGCTGATTCCCAACACAAATGGTTGAACTAATGATAGTCAGATTAACCAGATTTGACTGAATATACATTAATAATGTCTGAAATCTTTGGACTTATTCTGTCATGGATCCGCATGTGTACATATGTAAGGAAATACTCTCCGTATACTTGAGGAAAAACTAATAATTGAAAGCAACAAAGGAAATTCACAAGCTGGACAAGTATTCACCTCATATAAAAAGACGACTTTTGCACGCGTTTAGCAAATCAGATAAACAAGGAATGACACCAGAAAACAACAGTATTATTTTGGGAGGAAAGGAGCTGGAAAATCATTCTTGTTGGAAAAATGACACAAACGAAATGTAAACAGTAAATGATATCAACAAGCACAAACGGTACATGCTGAGCTGCATGTGCAACTGCTAGTTGTTCCAAGTGTTCTGCATGTGTGCGTGCAAGCGAGTCCGCATGTAAGGCTGACAACATAAACACCCAGAACTGTTTGGGGAACAGTTGTTTCAGAACAAACGTGTTTGGCCTCCTTTACGTGTTGTCTGCATATTTTGAAAAAGCTGCCAAGTAACTGTAAGAAAACCATTATATATCTGTGGGATTAACAGGGCCCTCCTAAAAAGCATCCTTAGTTTACACTGAAGACAGAAAGTAGTGGATGCTTTGACACTTGAAATGCTGCTGGCATGGATACAAAGTGGAAGTCTAACAGACGAACAATGCAAGGAAGAAAGACAAAAACCAACTTCTGGTAAGAGAAAGATGCGGAATGTGAGTTCAAGTCAGGCAGAAAGTTGTTGAAGGAAACAGAACTCCCAACTGCACCCAAGACTCTGCTCTTAAATCTTGGCAATTAGCCTCAAAACTTGTTCTCATACTTCTTAGGAAATACCTTGATTCTAAACAATGTTTACATTTCTGAAATGATTTGTGTGTCTTGAAATAAACCAAATGTGCATATTTGGGAAGAAATGAATGAATCAAATGTATAATTCAAAATAACAGTTCATGAATCATGGATGTTTTGGGTCATATTTTTATGAAATCTTTTACATAAAAAAAATCCCCCAAATATTCATGATTCCTAACTTTATTTGTTCAGTATATGACACACACAAATGACTGCTAAACGAATGCTGGTACATGATTGGTGTGACACCTCTGAACCAGGCACATCAGTCATTGATGAGAGAGCAATGTTCCATGAGTATGATGACACAGGATGCGTGAGAACATATATCGGTATCAAGCCAATCCACATTTGACAAACACAGGATACAAGAGGCCCACAGGAGCTAAGCACACGATACTGAAGACCCACAGGAGACAAGCTTGGTACACTGAAGACCCACAGGAGACAAGCACACAATACTAGAGACCCACAGGAGACAAGCACATGATACTGAAGACCCACAGGAGACAAGCACACAATACTAGAGACCCACAGGAGACAAGCACATGATACTGAAGACCCACAGGAGACAAGCCACCGATACTAGAGACCCACAGGAGACAAGCCACCGATACTGGAGACCCACAGGAGACAAGCACATGATACTAGAGACCCACAGGAGACAAGCCACCGATACTGGAGACCCACAGGAGACAAGCACATGATACTGAAGACCCACAGGAGACAAGCCACCGATACTAGAGACCCACAGGAGACAAGCCACCGATACTGGAGACCCACAGGAGACAAGCACATGATACTAGAGACCCACAGGAGACAAGCCACCGATACTAGAGACCCACAGGAGACAAGCACATGATACTAGAGACCCACAGGAGACAAGCACACAATACTAGAGACCCACAGGAGACAAGCACATGATACTGAAGACCCACAGGAGACAAGCACACAATACTAGAGATCCACAGGAGACAAGAAACGATACTGAAGATCCACAGGAGACAAGCACACGATACTAGACACCCACAGGAGACAAGCTTGGTACACTGAAGACCCACATGAGGTGGTGATCATAAGGTGCTGTACTGGAGCCCTGGAGTCAACAGTCAGCAGACACATATCTATATACCCAACACGGTTCCAGTTACATGAAACCAACTACAATGTTATTGTGCACCTGTCAAAATTTTAATGAAAAGTCTAACTGGTTTGGGCATCAAGAGTATTCCAAGCTATTTTCCCCAGCTGGTCTGAGAAAATCCCTCCAGATTTATTCATGGAGCAAGATTTCCCAGAAATTAGTCTTGTTACGCTGGCGCCAGTATTTTCCTGTATGCTCTATAAACATGACTGAGGACACAGGAACAGGAGACAATACGACATGAAGACCTCATCTTCTGAACTGTGACAGATGGGAAGGCCAAAACGGGAACACATTTCTTTGTTAAAACCAAACAGTGTATGCAATATGACACAGTCTAGTCAGTGATTTCGTGATATGAATTGTGTTATCACCATGATGGCAACTATCGTGAAATGGAACATCCGTTAAAACATCAGGTTACATTGATCTGTCAGTTTTCATGTCGGAATGGCTAAACATGGCAATTTGCAGATCATGTTCACAAAACTGATACCAAAAACCTTCTGTGACATAGAGGTAAGGTTAAACCCAGGTGTGGAATATTGCAATTATTGACGGACATGTTCTCAAGTCATCAACATGATTTCCCACTTTAGACTGATAGCTTCACAGAGTTTGATTGAAAACTACAACACAGAAACAATAGTAAAACACTGGCTATTGTTTGACAGCCATTTCTAATAACACCTTGTGACCTTGGTTTTGTTTTGCAGGGTTCCAGTGAACATGTTAATGCTAATGTCTCATTTGTTTTGTTTAAACACATTTGTCGCCTTTTTTTCCTCTTTATGATTTTACATTTCTGGCGACAATGAACTTAATGAGATTCCGACTCTAAAACAGCTTGTCCATGGTATGAGAATGGTGATTAACAATTATGGAAGAGTTAAGTTGGAAATCTGGTAATCTTCATAAATGGCCTATCTTGTCGCAAGATTAAAAAAGGTTTAAAAGGGGCGAACAAAGAAACCGGGAGTAATTTCAAATTGCCATCATTCAGCTGGAACAATGAAACAATGTTTCCAAATAAGCCACCTTGTGGGATTGCGTAAAACCATTACGACTCCAATGGGTGAAGCAGGAATCCCATTGGAAGTAAAACCTGTCTTCGTTGACTTAGGGGAACGTGGGATGGAGTGCCAAAAATGGAAGGAAAAGTCTCGACAGAGAACAGATATGGGAAGAATGTTTTAAATGAAGATTAAATCAGCATAATTGTCCGATTCAGGCACAAAATGTAACACATTAGGGATTATTGAACTTCTGTCCAGTCTTGCCAATGTGCTGAAATCTGGGGCTGGCATTTGGGCAGGGAGCAAAGTGGTAACTTTGGGACCTCAACAATGCTGCGTTGCTGTCTCAGCCCAACCGAGACCAGATTACTGAGGCTGGGAGGAGCTTAACCCTTGAGCCCAAGCACAGATGGGGAAGAATACTGAAAATTAAATTTAATAACACCAATTCAATCTTCAAAAATTCAATTTTATGATTTGAAGTAAACCTGAGCATGTGGTCTTAAATTTGACAGACATTTTTTGACACTTTCTTTAGAACCCTCACATCTTAGGAATTTAATTTTTTTTATTAATTTCCACCAAAAAAAATAACATCAGGTTGTCTTTGTGATGAAATTATGAATATGACATGAAACAGAGGCACTGATCTGGTTGAATTACATTCAACTGACATTAATCCTTAATAACTGGGTTACAATTTGAACCCAGAAATTCCAACCTTCACTGAAAATGAATGTTATTTTCATTGATTGTTATTATGCAATAGAAAAACAAGCACTATGTCAATAATAATGAAATTCAAATATGGAACTTGGTATTCATAGTTTTCATTTTTGGAGCAATATCAATTTGTATGAAAAAACTTATAACTGCCCCAAAGGGTTAACATTGAGGGGCCGGCCAATAAGAAGGTGTGAAGTTATAAATTGGGGTCTAAATATATCTAAATGGACAACTCAAGAGTTTGATACTTCTTGAGGTTGCTGCAGATCTTGGTGTCAGTGTCTGGAACTCAAATATTGGTGAAAAAATCTCTGACTCCTTGACAGCACATCAATTACATTGGGGTGATTTTTTCAGGGGAGACAACCCTGAGCTGACTCATACCGATGTCAAGGCAAGTGATTTGGTTAAGGACCCTCTAATTTGGTTTCTTTTCATAAAAAGAGAGTGAAACCTGCACAAATGATGCATATATTTTCAAATTAAGTTGAACTGCAGCGTTTGTTGTGGGTACAATTGACTTAATTTGCCACAAAAAAACTAACGTAATCGCCACTAATTCTCAGGAGGTGAGATGTCACAAGGATTGGGGGCAGTATTATGAAATTTGGGTAACAAAAAACAGCCCTGTCCTTCGTCAAAATTGGCAGACATGACCAACATTAACCTCAGAAATTTGGCGGTGTGGTGAATTATTCCAAACATTACTTCACTTGATCTCCTGACCAAACTCATGTGCTATCCATTGTCCACTTGGCTCCAGTTTTTTGAGAACAATAGTTGGAAACAAACCCCTTTGCAAAATCAATAACCAGTGAAATATTTTGTTTGTTTGTAGTTTAATGCAGCACTCAGCAATATTCCAGCTATATGACGGCAGTCTGAACCAAGTCGGTGATCCTGATCGCCCTCTCCTGTTAGTCGCCTCTTATGACAAGCGTGGGTTGCTGAAGACCAATTCTACATCTTCCTGGGACCAGTGAAATGTTAATTACCATAGATGTGTAGGAAAAATGAAAGAGGTGGTGAACTTGATGAGAATCTTTAAGTTAAAAAAACAGATTACAAATTATTTTTTAACCCCCCTCCCCCCAAATTCATTAATATCTACTCTGTCCAACAATATCAAGTAACAAACAGAATCTCGAGATGAGATGAGACTTCAAATAAATTCCTGAGAATAACTTGCCAGCAGTGTCTGTCTCTACCCCTCCTAAACATTATGCAACATACAGCACCCGTGAGATCGGGGTTAGAATCGGTCTTCAGCAACCCATGCTTGTCCCCCATGAAGATTGGTGTTAGAATTCGTCTTCAGCAACCCAGCGTTAACAAAAAAAACAAACAGCAACACACAACCACCCAGCTATCCAATACTTCTCAGTGCTACATGACACTTTTAGTAGTCTGTATCATATTACAGAATAAGAGTGAGTGAGTGAGTGAGTATGGTTTTACGCTGCTTTTAGCAATATTCCAGCAATATCACGGCGGGGGACACCGGAAATGGGCTTCACACATTGTACCCATGTCGGGAATCGAACCCGGGTCTTCGGCGTGACGAGCGAACGCTTTAACCACTAGGCTACCCGACCGCCCTACAGAATAAGAAGCTAGGCCACACAATGAACCATGTGGGATTCAAACCTGAATGTCTGCCAAGCAAACACCCACAGCACTCCTCAAGGGACCAAGATTCTGTTGTCATGTCACACAACATTATGAATGTCATACATGAATGAGAGGGAGGTTTTATGCCGCTTTTAATAATATTCCAGCAATATCACGGCGGGGGACACCAGAAATGGGCTACACATATTGTACCCACGGCAGGAATCGAACCCAGGTCTTTGGCGTGACAAGCCAACGCTTTAACCACTAGGCTACCCGACCGCCCCATGTAATACATGAAGTCACATGGTCATACCTCAGAAAAGTGTATGCCATTTACCGTGGTCAACTTGACACACTCAGATTCTGAATGAAACGTATGATTCTGTGGCAGTTAACAGGACTAACAGCAACCCTGGTCAACTGCATCCTTGCTGATCATGACAATGTTGGGGACCTCACCTTTCATTGAAGGCGTTGCGAGTGGCGTGGGTCTGTACACTGTCCTCCTCGATGAGGAAGCGCATCTTGTCAAAGAAGGAGGCCGTCGTGCTGGGGGGTTGTTTGCTGAGGAGGACGTCCTTAGGATCTGGCGACACCTTGCAATACTGGTCATTGCTACAGGAAGTAGTGGAACAACAGTCTGGGTCCAGGCAATCCAACAGTCCATCTACAAGGCAAAGGAATCCATGTTTCCAGTATAAAACTAAGGGATAAAATTACTAGACCAGATTCACATGTTTAGGTACATAATGAGAGTAGTGTTTTACGCCAATATATAGCAGTATTTCAGCTATACATTAGATGAGACACCAAAATATAGGCTTTATCTGTTGTAACCATATGGGGAATCAAACCTGGGTTTCAGCACAAGTGAAGGCTTTAACCAGTGGACTACCCGTCTGCTTCCTCAAGGTACATGAGCATTAGAAACTGAGATGAGTTTGGCTTCATTAGTAAATCATAGCTCCTCTTTCTGTTACATGTTCTGACTTCCTTTTCCCCAATAATCAAATTAAAAATCACTCCCCAAATGGTGTCTTTCCCCCACCCCACAAGCTGCCCCTCCCATGATCTCCACACACACACACAGGGACATGACTCAATTATTGCACATCAAGAATCTTCCTGTTACACAGATATACACAGTAAGCATGATCTAATCACTGACATGGAAACGTAAATATGACTTGGGTCAATTTTCTTAACCAGAGGAATTTAACTTATCATATTCATGATAGGTTCGTGATTTCGTTCCTATTTCCCTAAATGGCAGCAGACGTCTTATCATTTTCATTATTGATACACCTTTGAATCGTGTCGACTCCATCTGCAAACATGTCTGGGAGACAGAGAGTTCTGACAGACAATCTGCGAGATGGACCGACAGCAACGACGACATGTCCGACCCTGTACCATGTGATGACTGCATGGCGAGTTAGTCATTGGAACGTATCAATTAATTAAACAATCCTGGCTTCTCGTGCCACAGCATGTCCGAGACGAAAGCGATTTGTGTAATGTTGCAGAATCAAAGTGTGTGATTCATAACGAAAGTGAGGATTGTGGGCTAGCTGTTGTCGACTGAGTGTGTAATGTACGTGACTGCCTACCGTTGTCATTGTCAGCCATATCGTCACATTTGGTTTCCTTCGCAATGTTGCACGCCAAGCCCTTCCATCCTTCATTGCAAGTGCAATTCCATCCTTCTCGGAATCTTGTACAATCACCATGGTTGCTACAGTCATCAGGGCAGCCGTCTGTCGATACAAAAAGAGGGATTTGTGAAAAAAATACCAAACATCAATCTGTTAATGTGAAAGTGCTGTGATGAAATTACATCAGTGGGATCAGTACCAGTATTGAACAAGGAGAGTGAACGTCAAGTGGACATAGCAGATACTTATACATCTGCCATTAAAAGACGAAAAACATTTATAAATCTATCAAGTATTCTTCAACCTCGTCTGTTTTCTGAAAAGCTATCAAATTTAGTTGCCTAGCGCTATATCTGTCAGTATAAAATGGGACTGACAGACATGCACTCAGTGGACCCATATGATTTAACAATTATCTGAAAATTGTTTCATGTTGAGATAACTTGCTAGAGAGGGCCTTCCACAGAATATTATCATTCAATCCCCCGAGATCAGCACATTACAACAGAGGCAGCTAGACTGGTGCAGAAACAACGAAGGGACCTTTTTCAAACATTATACCCATTAAACCTTATCAAGGAATAATTACAATTCTTTTTTTTCTTTTTCAGTATTACTGCATTTTTAAGCACGAATGACTGTCAATTCAAGCACCTGTTTTGATAATGTGTTAAACACTCAATACAATTTTGTTATGGGTCACCAATTTACTTAATGATAAAAACCCTGTACAGTAACCAACACAGCATGACAAATATTAAAAAACAACATTTACATGTTTGTAATTGAAACATCCAACCATTTGATTAAAAAAACAAAAGTTCCTAATTGATGAAGACTTCAAGAAATGTAACCCCCGAAATAATATTCGTCCATAATCTGGCACTGCATGAGTAATGAGTACCATGCTTAACTCAAGTCCAATCTCATTATCAACCTTCTCATTCCACAATTACAAGTGTGAGAATACAATCCGATTGAAGCAAATGGACACATTTTTCAAACCGTCTCTACAAAGGCTGCGCCTGCCACCTGATAGGGCTAAAATCCCAGACAGACTCGCACCATGTCAAAAACATATTATATTTTCTGTATAATACTGTCCTAAGACTCTCTGATTGATGGCGGCCCAAGCAACATGGGCCATCTGCCTAAGAGCGCCTAATGATAATTTCTTAATTGAAACTAATGATGGAAAAAGGTGGACAGACAGCCTTTAATTATTATGGCATCTTTCTCGTCAGCATAATATTTTAATGCAATAAAATGTTGAAACTGATATGAATGACACCCGAGGAACAGAATGCAGTGGATAGTGTCATGGCCACCGCTGTAATCGTCTCCCTTGCTTGAACAAATGCGCCTCACCGAATATGACGGCAACACACCTAATGAATATTTGTCCATATGGACTTCCAGCTTTCTAACAAAGGATAATACAATATTTAAGAATTTACACAAAAGCTTTTAAATTGGTTCCCATGGGAATGGGAATTGTTGTGCAGCTATGAAAGAAATGCCAATGGACACGTAATTCACTTTGTCAGACCTGGCCAAGAGGCTTTAAATAAACATTAGCTTTCTAGAATTAAAACAAATAATCACATTGTTTGAAAGTTTCTGCAAGAACCTAAGTGTTAAATAATTCTCTCCAACACGAACTACAGCCCAATCAAAGTATTTATCTTCCATCACTGTATCTCAAATAAAATAATTCCCAGAAATAATAATGCATCATTGTAATCAATTTAGATTAATACGATCGGTTTTACAGTGAATAGTGGAGGGTTTTTAAATGGATGAAAGCTGGGTGGTGAGAGCATGTGCATGACATTTATGCTGTAGTCAGCAATATTACAGATATATCACAGCCACATGTAAATAAACATGTGTCAAAACAAAACATATTGTCATCTGGAAGTAATGAAGGCATGGATTTATATACTACTCAAAAGAAGTTAAAGTACGCCCGATTCTTTCACATGACTCAAGTTAGTCTGTCGGGGCATTATTCAGATTAACCATAGTCATATGAAATAATTGGGTGTACTTTAACTCTTGAGTAGTATATAATTGCACCAACTGATATGTGCTAGCGACTTTGTCAACGATTAAGGGGCAGTGTAACCTACGTGATGGGAAACCCCTCTTATTTGAGACAATGCCTAAAAACCAACTACTCTGTGGCCCCAAACATCACTGGTTGGATGTTTCTCAGATCACTGATCATGCCGAATCTTCAAATTACCCAAACATTTTATCAAAATGTTATCCCCAAGCAACCTCTCCTTATGAAACATGCACCTATCTGACTCCTGGGAAATAATTCAATAAATCTCTTTTAAGTCTTACAGTTTTTGTGTTTAACCAGCATATTGTGATGGAATGGACTGAACAGAAGCCGGAATTCTACGAAGGCTTCATGATACCAGTCCATTAAACGGGACAGATTGGGAAACGTAAATGGCGTGCCAAGTGTAATTGACGAGTTATTGGATCAGCTTCCTTATATGGTCACACGATGACACCTGCCAATCATCCCCATCAAACAAAGACACTACTTTTAATCTTCCTTTGATAACTAAATTTATCCAAATCACTCTTTCGTGCAATGATGCGAACAGTTTTTGTCTCTTAAAAGTAACACATTACGTTTTATGACAGTAACAGAACACATTGTGTTTAAGTGATATGGTGTTTCATCATCACAGTCGTCCCCTTAAGTACATTGTCTTGTTTAAGAATTAATGTTAATCTCACTCTAAAAACACTAAAACAAATTTGATGAAAAAGTTTCATTTCAGACCAAATTCATACATTCTTATGAAAATTTTAGTCTCAAATAACATCACTATGTTATATAATGGCAACGTTTTGATACAATATGTCCCTATTTTCTCCCAGAGATATACAATGGCAAATGGAACAATATGAAAAACAGGAGCCAATATTGTATTGATAAACTTGTGCTGGTCAAATCTCACACCAATGACTAAGAATGACACAAAACACATACTGTATGTTAATTTCATCATCTTGATCCTTAGACCATACCAGTATATATCATTATGTATATCACAATGTCCTATAATGTTTGGCAATACAACCAACAGTTGACAATATCAGCACCATGATATATATGTTATAAAGCAACAGTGTACTGTATCAACCACCTCATACTCTTCCAGAAACAAAACTATCTGAAAACTCCCAAACAGGTCTACAATACTTTGGCAAGTCTAGATTTCTTCAGTTTCAGGAAGGGATTATCTGGGCTCCTTTCTATTAAATACCAAAATTTATATACATTACAATTAAACAAAACAAAAACTTGTTTCATTTCAGGGACAAAATGTCTACAGTTCCCACTGCTGCATGATGACACTTCTCACCATTTTCTAAGGACCAAAATCATCATCTACAGCAGAAGGTGTGGACCTCAGCCAATCCTTACTCACTACTCACTGAAGCAATCATCTTGTTCATCTGTACATTACATCTCTGATACAATTCTGGAGACAATGCTTGATTGGACGCTAAGATCTTATCCAACCCTTTTCTGTATGATAAAGTACTTATTCAATACCAGGAACAGCCAGTTAAAAAGCTTCCAGAATCAATTCTACATCAGATAAATGGTTGAAATTTCAATCACATGGTACAGCTTTCTTGGGAATAATCTCTTCATTGTAAATTCCCACTTGCAAAAAGATTGTTGTAAAACATCCCCCGTGAGAGGAAGTGCTATTACGCTAGTTTGTTGCTGCAAGGATAGAATTCACAATATTTTCTTTATGACTGCAACATTACTCTTATTTCCCATTTGGAGAGAAATGTAAAATTTAATCCCATCATAAAACATAGATTTCCGATTCCATAAGACCCCAATGCAATCTTTCCCAGTAAATAATAGCTGGGACTGTTTTATAACAGCGCAATTAAAACAGCACAAATCAATTTCCTATCACATGACCACCTAACACGATTCCGTTGTACATTTTGCCATTCATCTCCATGTAATTGGATCAATTTCACAGTCTATATTCAAAGTGTGCAATTATGAGCGGCCTGAGAATAATATCCCATAATAGTTACAAAATGTCAGGAGAAAAGGTCCCCTATCGCTACCTTTATTGTGTGACCTCAAAGCCATTCGCCAAAACAAAGGTCAACTCAACAGGAGGTGAGATTTAAACATCAGCAAAAACCTACTTAAATACTGCTGCCCTAAAAAATCCTATATCTTGGTTTTTGCACTTTTTTTAAGCAAATCTGGCGTGTTAAGCTATATTGCAGAAGCATGCATTAAAGTTTGTATTTTAGCTAGAAAAATATGTTTGTTTAACTCAGAGTAGATGAAATGAAAATACCACATATAAAAAAATTGTTACCATGATAAAAAAATACAGGTAAGTCATGGACAATGACAGAGTTCAAAATTTAAAACCCTGATTTAATTTAAACAGATTTATTGCAATTTGATAAAAAAGAAAAACAAATCTACACAAAAAAAACTATTAAAACGCTACTTTGAATCCATCCAGTTTTAAATTGATTTCCTCTATTCTCATAAATATTATTGCTCAATCAGACCAGTATTATCTCCCCATGCCAAAGAATTATCTCCCTTCTCACCAATTGTGCAGTGTCTTCCATTCCAACCATTCTGGCATGTGCAGGTCCCGTTGTTGCAGTATCCGTGCAATTCACATCGATGGTCGCATTTAAGTTGATCACAGAGGGCGCCGGTAAAGCCCTCGTCGCACTCACATCGCTGCTTTTTGCAGAAGCCATGAAAGCACTCGAGTCGACAAATTTCTGCAAACAAAATGTAAATACGGCTAACTAGCAGGCCCAACACAATGGCCACAGTATTGAGTAGGTGTAATAAGCAGGCCGTGTGGGAGTGTGGCACTATTATTAAAACCACCATGGAGACGGTCAGGGCAAATGATTCATGACAGGTTCTCAATAGCTATTATGCTTTTTATTGATAATCAATTACAAATATGTTAACTCATTGAAGAGAAAATATTTACTTTATCAGAAATTGTATATCATCTCTTTAGCATACATGAGTTCATTTAGTACTGAATCTTTTCCAAAAAAATTCTTGATTGTAGTTCAGATTTACATAGGAAATTAAAGAGAGTCAGTCTTTTTCAAAACAAAAGTGTTAGAGATGTCACATACAGAAATCAGTATTTAGAGTCACAACTATTTCAAGGTTGATCTAACAACAGGATGAACCTTTAAACAGTTGTCAGTCAGATATGATTTCAATAATTATTTACAGTTGTATGCACAAATTCTCAGAGACACTTTCCATCAAGCGAAAATAAAACATGACAACTTACAGACTGTTTTAGTAAACAAACTACGATGAAACAAACAGCTTCACCACAAAATTATGAATCTCAAATAATGGAAACGATAAAATCATGCTGTATTTAATAAAACAGCAAATGAGCTGAAATGCATTCCAAGTTATTTGTGTGATTCAGCCCCTATTATCCTTCACACAATCGGTCCTTATATCACACCCTCACTGGTTTATTATACTAAGTATTACACAGTGAACCAGGAAAACCAAGCCTTCTGTAAACCAACAACATGGGACGTAATTGATCAATCGTCAATTTCAACAGCTGATAATTAACACAGCAAGCCTGAACGTTGTACAATGTTTATTTTCTACAGGCGGATGGTAACGATGCAAAAAGAAGGAACTTATGTGGCATTCAGGGCTTGTTTTAACAGAAAACACAGAGAATATCAGGACATGGTGCCAGTGTCTAATGCCTTCATTGTGTGGCTGGATGGGAGCCCTCAGCCAGGGTTATAGCAACAATGCTCCAAGCTGTGACAGAAAACATCTTCCTAATACATGTATTGGAATGAGATGGATATGACAAAGCTGTTGGTTTGACAAGAGAATAAATTTTACTTCAACATTTATTGATAAGTATTGTCAAAAAATACCATTTTTGTTTGTTTGTTGTTTAACACTGCACTCAGCAATAAGCTATATGAAGGCAGTCTGTAAATAATCGAGTCTGGACCAGACAAAAAATACCAGAAAAATGCTTACAAAAATCTTGGAATTTTCTATCAGGTAAGCAATTTTTAGAATGTGCTAATGTAAAGGAATTTGTTGAAACGTGTGGAATTGAGATCCTAGGAATAGTATGGTTCATGCCAGTAGAGATATGGATAAAATAAATCATATGCAGATAGACGATACATTTTGAATATATGAAACACTCAGAATATGCTGATGAACACACCCCTTGTTTCAGAACTGGCTGGCCCATCAATTCATTACGACCAGTCTACTATTTACATTAGGGGCGATGGCTGATCGAGTCAACTGAAAGTGACCTCTGATGATTATGTTAAAAGTTCTCAAGTTCCAAATCCCTTGTCCATTCTGGTGATCTGTCTCTGACAAGCAGTTATCTCCCTTTGATCCCACTCATCTGAATGGATTAATGAAAGTACGCCCATCAATTATTCCCTAAAGAATAACCCTCATCAACATGTCAATAAAATTAGCGCTCTGTTAAACATTTAGACAACAGACATTTGTGAGTGTCAGATTTGACAAGTGGCATTTATTTACATGCGCTAGAACTTTACAACAAAACAACAAAAAACACGAACACAACAAAACACGATCCATGCAGTACCAAGAACATTAATTATACCCCAAAAATGATAATGACCCACACATGGGTGTAACTGGCGCCATGCTGATTAAATTGCCGTAACTTTCATATCCAACATATCAGTCAATGATAGAGGTAAGTCATTTATGGCTTGCCACCTGATAAATGAGTTTCAAGTTGGACAAGATCGAACACACTGTAATTAAATTCAGCAAATGCGATTCCATTGCAGTCTTGTTTAGTTGTAGATAGGAGAAGGTTGGAAGTTCAAAGCTTGGGCAAACCACACAGTGGCCATGGCGGACAGTCTTGTGACAATGGCGGACAGTTTTGATGCATCGTGGACACCTCTTTGACTGCCACGCTATTAATCAGGACTCCTACTTGCATTACAAGTGGTAGTAGTAATTGAACGTTAGTGCTACAGAATGGGTTAGAGGCTACAGGTGAAGCTGGTGGCAAAAGCCGATTATGAATGATTACATTCGCTTTAAATGGCATTCCTTCCCAAGATGCATTACCTGTTTCACAGTCCTCGCCTGTGAAATGGCGCTCACATACGCAGCGATGGGTCTCCACATCATACACTCCGTGGCTTGAGCAGTCTTTAGCGCATATTTGTGTGACATTTATTTTGTCGGGTACGCTACACGCATTCCCTCTATAGCCCTTGAAACACATACACTGGCCGTGTATGCATACCCCGTTACCAGAGCAATTGGACATAACACAGTCAACTGAGGAGGCAACAGAAAGAGTGCAGATGAAAGCAAGCACACTAACAGAGAGACTTATACAGAAATACACAGTACAACATCAAGACAGGTGCAAGAGGTTCTTGGACACAAGATGGAGCCATCATGGCGCTACTCACATACTTTAATCCTGACAGTCATTGCATTACTCCCTACCTTAACCTTACTTATTCATTGTGCTCTGATCGGTATCATCCAAGATCCTTATTTATATCTAGAATCTAAAATCATTCATTTAAGCAATGATGTTAAATATTCAATACTAATTTCAGTTTTTAAAAATTGATAAAAAATATGTGATGATATAAAAAATATAACCATATGCATCTTGCTCATATTATTCATCTTATATTTTTCTCTGATAACATATTTCATATTTTTATGCAAGGACATCTCTGAATGCAATTTCAGTGATGTTTATCTCAAGTGGACATGTGAACTTCTTGCACAGTCTTATTCAGTAATTTTCCAGTCTTGATCAGATTTCACAATGGCTTGTGTCACCCCCATCAGTTACGGCAAATAGTTATTACATCATTTATTAGGATAGAAATGTTTCAGGTCAAGGCTCAACGTAATCACACTACAGAATTCTGAGAACACACTGAATTATGTGACCACACACTGAATTATGTGTGAAATTATACCGAATTATGCGCACACGAAAGATCCTTTCTTTGCCATTCTGGAATCCCGACCCTAGTTTATTGTTCAACATTGTATATAAACATGAACATGATACCGTCTCCCCATCTGATCAAGCTGGTCTCAACAGAAATGATGTGATGTTCATCGTCAGTGTCATACAGGAAATGGGGAACAGAAGAATCCAATGTCTGTGACTCAACTCTATAATAGGCAACTGATATCATATCTACGATATGGATCGAGATACCCAAAATAGCCTTGAAATAAACTGATAATCAAACAGACACTAAACCACCTTATTCACAACACACACAAATCATTCTATACGAATCTCATCTCTGCAGAAATCAACTTAGCACCAAGGCCATTTTGTATCAATCTTCGGCTGTTTTAATAGTATTTTAAATCAGCAGCAAAATTCCATTTCAAATGCAAATTTGGGGAAATTTTTTTGGAATATTTCACATTTTTTACTCTTTCATTTCCATACGCAACAGGAATTTTTTCTGACTGGTCAGATTGCTTCATCATTCCCCAATTTTTCACACTAAAGGAAACCAGTGTTGGGGTGAAAAAAGACCTGAAGTGATTCATAACTTGTGAAGGGGAGGTAACTCTGACAAATCATTCACCATCAGCCTGTACAAAAAACTCCTTTTTTCAAAGATCTATTTCCGATCATGATCAGTCACAGAGCATGTTGATTCACCTACGTTATTCGTCAACTGCCTTCGGGGTGTCCAAACACCACAAATTTATCTTTTGAAATACAGAATTACCGTTTCTAGCCTACAAAACCACTTTTTTTCACTTCAAATTTTCTAAAGCAACAGGGTGATAATTTTTCCATTTTGCATTCAATCAATATTTTACTCTGAACATCTGTGTGCTATATTAGATATTTTATGTTAACGGCAATGTAAGGCAGGGCATTGTCGCCATCTGCTTTCTCCTGGCACTCGGAAGCAGGAGTTCAGCTTGGGAAACGCAGCTGAGTATTTGGGGGACCAACCAAAAGCATGAGGTGAAATCTAAACACACAGTCCCCCTGCCTCATTTGTTTACATGCTTTGGTGAGAAAAAACATTCTGGCACTGCAGTTCCAGATGTGTGTTGGGAAACATGGATAAACTAAACTACCACTTGATGTCTTTTTAAACAGCTTGCTGCCATTGTGAGATAACTCAGCAGAAACAGAAGTGGTCTCTTTGATTAATGCTGATTGGCTAATCACCAAGCCCTGTTTCATAACCTTGTTAACCCTGTTGACTGTCTAAACTTTTGTTGTTCACATTCGTTGTTCAGATTTGTTGCTTATATTTTCCACACTAAAACTTTCCCTGAAGTGGAGCATAATTATGACGGTTGTCATGGTAATTCATAAAATTTGGAATGTCATTTGGTGCTGAGGAGAAGCGTTTCAATGCTAACTTAGGGAGGAGTCTATAGATATATTGTCTTTAAAGAAGGACTTCTAACCAGAGCTTTGCTGGAGGAGGGTTGGGATGGGTGGTGGGGTGGTCCGGAGGGGGGGGGGGGGCAAGGGGAAGGAGTGGGGAATAGCAGATGGCTGGTTAGATGGGTGGGTAGGAGGGTGAGAAAAAGCAAGCTAAGATGTGGAAGGGAGGAATTGTTTGGGAGTATCTCAGTTTGATGAACCAAAGTCCTGTTCCACATTTCTTGCACCTACAAACACATCTGACAACCACATCAACATGACATCACTTCTCCATAGACATGACAGTCTCGAAAAAAAAACCATCACAAAGTTTATTTAATTAAGAAATACATCCACCAGCTATCAGTTAAAATTGTTCACTAAAACTTTGTGATGGTTTAGTTTTGAGATATGAAATCATATATATGTTACATAAAGTTGAAAAAGCATTACAACAGAAAAAAGAAAAAAGGAATTAATTATGAAAAAGGTGATGAAATTAAAGAAACATATATACATGAGAAAAATAAGATTGTACATTTAATTCTGTTATCATCAGCTGATTACATTGAATTAAAATTGAATTCAACTTTATCTCAATTACCAAATCAATCAAAACAAAAGCACTCAATATTTTACAGGGGGCATGGGTGGCCCAGTTGTCTGAGGCAACCGCAATCCGCTGTGCAGAGTTACGTCCCTTGGACATGCCAGAAACGTACAGTCATGGGTTTGAATCCCAGTTCACACTGATATGTTTCTGTTTTTGTCAGCACCATACCCATGCTTATGGATTTCACCAAAGACCCGCATCACTTGAGGCTTTCCTCTCACATCAAGCTGACACGCCACAATATAACTGGAATACTGTTCAAATCAGCGCCAAACCCAACTCACTCACTTAACATTCACAACTGCTGATGATAACAGTAAGACAGGTTACAGTTGTGACATATTTTCAATGTCTAGAAATCAATACTCTTTGTCTCTCTTTTAACTATAGAAGCATTTACCAAGCAAGATAATATATTTTCTACCAGAGTGTTCTCTACAGAAGAAAGATAACACTCTCACAGAGTTCTATAGAAAGAAACTAATTTTTCTTGACTTTCTTATCTGTCACAGAGAAGGTTTTAGTTACCATCAGATTACAATATTGGTTTGTTATCAGCTCATCATCTTTTGGCATTAGCTTGAAACAAAAACTGCAACCCTTATTGAAACAAATCTAATTCAAGGCAGTAACTATGACAGTTGGTTTTCATGACAAGAATAATAATAAAAACAATTTGTTTTTATTAATTTACTTTTTTTCTTTGTTGTCAGTTCCTTTGCTGACAATATTCTGTTATATTTGTAGGTTTGTTTTTAACAATTTTGGAAGTCAGCAAACTACTGAGAAACTTTTTATGTATATTTCTTTTTCGCAAAATTGTGACAGAAAAGAAGTTGTCAAAAACATTAAAAGAAGAATCTTCTACATGCTAATATCTTGTTTTTCTCAACCATTTTTTGGGACAATTCTTGAGAATCATATCTCAAAACGAATCCCAGTAATATTGAAAACAGGTCTCCTGATAATCCCTGTGACAGGGCAACTCAATTCCTTTATTTTAATGTTTGGTGATATCAGATATACCCCTGAACTATGAATGGAACATGCCAGCAACAATGTTGCGACAAATGGGTCAGTCTACTAGTGATCAAGTAGGGGTGCTAGGTATGACATAACAGAACTTACCAATGCCACAATCTGGTCCCTGAAACCCTTGGAAGCAGACGCACTGTCCATTGATACAATGTCCGTTTCCGTTACAGTTAGGGACTTGGCACTCGTTTTCCCTGTACTCGCATTCCCTGCCTTTCCAGTTCAGGTGACATTTGCACACACCATGAGCATACAAACCATTGCCGCTGCACAGAATTGGACATTTGTCTGAAAGTAAAATAAATAAATTTCAAAACCATTGACAGGCATTTAGAAGTTGCAAGAATAACATGAATACATGAAACGTTTCTATGAACAATAGCTTCCTTATTCTTCATAACATTTTAGGGCAGCTCTTATCCTTCATCAGGGATGGGGAAAGAAGAGGCCCTGAAAATGTTACAAAGAATAAAGTTGTAATCCACAAAAACGTGTCTTGTAGTACACTTGCAGAACATTTTTCAAAACTTGCACCTCGCATGATGGGAACATTGGATTGGATCAGGTGACCCCACTCAAAGAGGGCGGGAATGCTACTTTATTCTGCAATTAAAATGGCACCACTTTATCGCTACAGGCATTTAGAAACAGAATCTGGATCTGAAAACCCGGTGGTCGACAGCATGAACCCCAGTCAGAAATGTTACCTCCACACAGCACAGAGGCATGAGATCTAACCACATTCAAAATGGCCACTGCACCTCACACTTTTCACAGGACTCTTCACAGGGTATACAGCCACTATCACAACACTAAATCTGTTTGTAAGGGCTAATGTCTTCCTTTAATGTTGACCCAGATGACCAGAGATGACACAAGGTATTCATATAAATGTATAAAATGGCTGGTGATAGCAACTGTTCTTCATCTCAAACAAAAAGAAAACTTTCTGTATTGTGCAATGTCCATCTCTTTTATTTTGCTAACCTTGACACCATTGTCAGGATGATATTAATTCTGTCAACTTATCTTTGGTGGCATATGATCTAACCAAACGTACGATGACACATGAAACAATGGGCATAATTTTCCAAATATTGATATTAATTCCTTCCACGAACAACTGTTTACATTTCATTTCGTGTTTCTCTATCAATGGGCTCGGTAGTCAGTTAATCAACAGACAATAGCATATAATTTGACCCCAAAGTTTGCAAATGTTACAAACGAAAGTGACGTGCGCCAATTACAACAACAAATGAGGAAATGGACTTCCTTTATTCATTGTAAATGTCGTCAATGTCCCTGAAAGAGAAACAGAAGTGCCGATATTTGATTAGTACAGGTCCTATTGTCTTCATACAAGACAGTCGCAGGTCTGCAAGGAATGGTAACATTCCGACTGTGGGCTTTGTTCGTTTGACGACACAGGGGTATTTCTCACTGCAGTGGCGCGACCCCGTAATAGGAAAATATCACGGAGGGGCCGTTGTGCCTAAGGTCCTTCTCACAAACAATTAGACTGCCATATTGATTTTTTGACATTTGAAAATAATAATTTGACTGACTGAATATGGCCTTTGAACATGAGTGGTCACAGGGGATTTGGGGATGCCCGTGATGTTATCGGGGGGAAATTGGGACGGATTCCCCAAATGAGACAATTTCATTTTGGAATGACAATTTTTTTTACTGAAAATTCATCTCTTGGTTATCTAAAATTCTCGAAATAATCAAGTTTCCAATGTGAAGCTATGATATGTTGATATTTGGAAATTGAAGAAAATGAAGTCCAGACGTTTTGTGATGATTAAATTGATTGAAATGGGACACAGAACCCTTCTCCATTTCACAAGTGAAAAAAACCGGGTCATTTTTTCATGATTTGAAAAAACAAATCATACCCCTCCACGACACATGAGACATACAATGCTACCTAAAACGAACAATCCCCTGAAAAACAGGAAATGAAAACAAACGACCCTGGACAATTTTTAACTGCAAAACTAGCTCAACTTCTTTCGAAAGCCATAATCCATCTCCGTGACAACATTACATTAGGATTATTTAAATTCAATTTGAATAAAAGACAATATTTATTTTTCAATGGTCATTACTATTATGTAATTCATACCATTATCTGCATCAAGTCAGCGAAATACACCAGTTTTTGGAGAGACAGAGAGACTAGTTCAATTCCAATGTTCAAATGTATTTTTGACGTTAGTGGCTGCCATTGATTAAGGTGTGAATAGGCGAGGAACATGTTTGAAAGCTTGGGGAAACTTTCTGCCTTGATGCTAGACAAGTGAAAGGAAAATGTTTCAATTTCGGATGCAATTTTCAATTGGAGAAATAGTGAGAGCGAGTCCTGCTGGCTGAATCATCTATGCCTGAACAATGGCGTCACACGCCCCTTGCTTGTGCCGTTATTGCTGTTCCGAGAGGCAGAGAGAGAGAGGAAGGAGATGGATCTGGGAGGAAGTTTCACTTAATTCTGGCTTTTGATTCTAAAGGTCTAATACCTCTTGGTGACACTTTGATTAATCTGAGCGCGTCAGCTCGTTCTTCGTAATTCTTCCAGGAGATCCTGGACCAACTTGGGGGCAGCCAACTGTTAGCGGCCATCATCAACAGACACAATAGCTACACTAACAAAGTTTCAGAGCATTCTTCTGGACAAATGTCATTTATTTTGAATTTGTCACAGATGCCCAAGCAAGTCTCATTTCGACAGTTCAAGGGGCTGAAAACCCCACAGGTCTCTGGGCCGTCTGCCAAAAAATGCATTTGTTTTCACGTTTTGTCCAGCATTTCCTGTGATGTCAATTCCATCGCTTAAACCAATTACGAATGCGATCAGTTTTGGAGTTGATCTCGTGGAAAAAGGCATTTATTTGTGCTCTGTGTTCCGTGTCCCGTATCTGCAACCCCACAGTGGTGTCGGCCATGATAATCCTGTCTCCCCGTCGAGGTTAATGATAAATTTTACAAGAAAATATGAGTTTTAACCTCATTACCATCCTGTCTCGACACCATAAAGTTGGCGGATTATACCGACAATGAATTACCGTGTGTGAGAGAGGACGTCCATCCTGGCATGGACGTCCTTGCAGACTCGATGGGGACAGTGAAATAATTAGAGGACAGGGGCACGGTGAGTCAGCCGTTCTGAATAATATCTGTTTGCTCCATTCCTCCTTCAAGTTGGGCCATTAATAACATCGCTCATTGGAATTCCCCAAAGTTGAGTTGTCCAGGCTTTGATAACCATTTGTATCACTTACAATGGGCCTGTGTTTATTTGCTTAGCAATCCAGAGGCACAACTGACAGTAAGTGATCAAACACACATTATTTAATTTGTGGTATGATGAATTTTGTGTGCAGTGTTAGAGGTAGGGGTATTCACTGCAGCACCATCAAGGGTGGCAAAATCATAGCCTAATCTAATTTAACTGCTTGTTGAAAGACCTGGCTCATCCTAATAATGTGCGAAGAAGCTGCAATGTTTTTTCCCATTTTTGGAAAAAAAATAGTGAGCTGCCTAATTTATTAAGTAAGGAGTCGTTCCTGTCTTGGGGGAGAGAGAGAGAGAGAGAGAGAGGTGTGGGTGGGGGGGTGTGGGGGGGGGGGGGGGGGTGGGGAGAAAGGGAGGGCTGGTGCTGGTAGGTGATTGTGTAAGACACATAACCCTCTGATAATGTACTGACATCAGTGAGTGAGTGAGTGATTATGGTTTTACGCCGTTTTTAGCAATATTCCAGCAATATCTGGGCGGGGGACACCAGAAATGGGCTTCACACATTGCACCCATGTCGGGAATCGAACTCGGGTCTTCGGCGTGACGAGCACATGCTTACCCTGCTGACAACAGAATAATGATGATCATAACCATAATCATTATTGCAGTCCCTTCTTCCATGGGTGCTACTGGTATCCACTGTGGAAGGAGAGGGGAGTTAAAGGAGAGAGCATGTATGTATTCATCAATTATAAGTTTACCAACTAATACTTCTTACAAAATATTTCCTAACTCACTTTCAGCACAGGCATCCCCTTGGTAACCAGGAAAACACTGACACTTTCCACCAACACAACGTCCATTGCCATGGCAATCACCAGGACAACCACTCTGCATTCCTGAAAATAAAAAAATAACATTTCTTAAACAATCCACAAATGACAAAACTTTGCAGACAGACAGTTTTGTCACATAAATGTTAACATGGTATTGTCCAGACAACTGACATTCAGTGAAAACGTAGACTGCTGAGGAAGTATCAGTTGGAGATGTCTGGGTGTACCACACTGACAATTAATGCCCATCTGATAATACCATCTAGTCTGCCTAATAAGAACATCAGTAGAAGTTGTCTGTATACTCTCGAGAGGTTACACTGGAACAAATCACACGTCCAGATCAGACGTAGATATAAGTGTCTCTGAACGAGAGTAGCCCCTGCCAGAAATGACCATATAATCCACACCCGCCATCGGCAGTCTCGCTTTCCAAATGTCAATGTGTATCTTGACCAGTCTAATTGCCATTGGGACCGATAACATAGCAAGACACTTTACCTATATAGCTCAAACATTTCGAATTTCAAATATGATGTGGAAGCTTAGAAGGATGAGACATATTTCTTTCTACTTCAATACTTATTGGCCATCAATAACACTTTGACTTTTTCCTGCCAGACAGACTGAAAAGAGTTTCATATGGTAACAGACTTGTTGAAAACAATATTGGATTATCCTCTATTTTCTTAATGACTAAATTATGTTTATTATTATGATTAATATCCCACTGAAGAGGAAAAGTTAGAAAATACTTTGGTAAATGATTTGAGGCTATTGTCTAACTTGTGAGTTTCTGGGAAAATCTCACGTCTGGAGGATGTCCTTTACACCATGGTTTGGTTTGGAGGACAGTGACAGCATTCTGTGACTGACATTTCATTCCCATTACATCCTGTATATATACTACTCAAAAGAAGTTAAGAACACCAAATGTTTTCATATGACTATAGTTAATCTGTCATGTTAGAAACATCCAATTTTGTCATGTGAGGATAGAATCGGGTGTTCTTTAACTTCTTTAGAGTAGTATATGATGAGCGCTGCGGCTGACACACCGGGGACTGTATCGGTCCTGCAATTCTAGTAGCATCAGAGCTACGTTACAAGCAAGAGAGAGTGCGAGTGATGGCCCATACATACAGCATAACTCTCTGCAGACTGACCACCCAATACCCGATCTTGTTCCCCATGAGGGCAAGTATGGGGTACTCGGGACTTAGTTAAGTCTAGACATTCCCTGTGTAAACTTGGTGTGCTTACTGATATTGTCTGCTTCCAGTGTCACAGTCTGTGGTTCCTCGTTGTCATTGTAGATGCCCAGGTACCAGTCGCCAGAGGTCAGGAACTCAACAAGCCTCATCCTGCCAGGGTTCATCTGCATCAGAGGTCATAACAGGGGTCATAAAGGTCACAACAGAGGTCATATCAGGGGTCCTAGAGGTCACAACTGTAGTCATAGGGATTTCAACAAGGGTCCTAGAGGTCGAAAGAGGGGTCATAAAGGCAGCAAAAGGGTCAGAGGTCACAATAAGGTCCTAGAGGTCATATGTTTTCAACAGGGGTCAAGGTCACAAGAGGAAAAGGTTAACAGGGAGGTCAAAATATTTTTGAAAGGAAACAAATAGTTTGTGTTTCAGAGCATATCATTTAAAGACACGGAATCTTTGCTTTTATGCTAACCTTTGACAAAGCCCTTTTTGACCTTGACGCTTCAACTCGGTTGCCTTCCAATCTCTTCATGAAGTCGTACTGGATGTGGGTGGGCGGGGCACTCCGTCTTCCATACACACCCAATATGGCTGACCCAGAAAGACTGAAGTTGAACTGAATAAACCCTGATCTGTCCTGTCCGAACTGGCTCTGCCAGAAAGACTTTGGAGGAATCTGTTCTGTGAGAGGCTGACCGAACATCACTAACTTTGGAATGGGTAATGGTGTTGGTGTTCCCCACTGGTTGCCAGGGGAGCCTGAAACAAAGTTAAGTCTTGTTAAAATTCTGTTGGATCCAAATCAACCCTCCATGTACTAGAGACAAACTATGGCAAACGTCATACAGGTCGTGTGAATGAGTGATGTTTTACCTGTAGTCGACAGCAGAGTGAGTGAGTGAGTTGGGTGAGTGATGCAGGTCTCAGACGCCAACCACATAATCGGGGCTAACCAGGATTCGAACCCACAATCATGTTTCTGGTGTGCCGATATAGCCGAAATGATCAAGGTGAAATGAAATGGTGCTTAACGTTGTGTTCAAGATTCTTGCACTCATAGAGAGCGAGGTACAAATGATTAATCAAAACCAAAACCAGTGGTTGATAGTATGAGTACCGATCTTCATCACTCAGTTCAGAGGTGTACAGTCAGCCAGATTATAGCATTCCCATCATAAACAATCTATCTGCAAGCTGTCAAAGACTTCAACAAAAATGATCACATCTTATGAGAAGATTGAATGTCAAAATATCTTAATTGATTCTTCATGACAGGAAAATGATTTACAGAATGGCCACTCCTATCTTCTCTCATGGCAGCCTACACTTTAAACCATCGGAAAAACAAACTGGAATTATGAAAATGTATTGAAGAATGTTTTTACTATTTCTTGAAAATTGAACTTTTTACAGTTAATCAATGCCAATAGAATTAATTCAATTGTCCCCAGTAATTTTTCAAGTGTTCAGTTGCAAATGACATTATGAAGCGGCCATTTTTTAGTTTCACAGTGACTAAGCAGTTGGGTCGTATTTCTTCCATAATTCAACAACAGCATAATTTTATGCCACTGACCACATTTGATTTCATCAACAGCGGTCTCCAGTGAAATAATCTGGAGTTATAGACAATTGTTGCCACTAATGTCAGCCATTGCACAAAACACGACTTGGCTGATGAAACAAAGACAGTGCCTAATGATATTAAAGAAATGTTTAAGTCTGAAATTTATTACCAAAATTGTATTAAAGTCTTCATGGTCACCATAGCAACACTAATTTCACTCCAAATCAATCAATTTTGTGAAAAGTAAACAAGTGAGATTCAACTTAAAGCTCATCAGTCATTCTCAACAAAGACAATGAAATGTACACTTGTGAGTCACGCCTGTGCACAAACTTGGCTTTTTGAATTCCATCTGTCGCGTCATTGTCAACAGCCAAAAGGACATTTGATCTGCCTAAACTACGACTTGATGCTCCCTGGAATAAAACACACATCAAAAAAGCAAAACTGTGAAATTTGTCCCCTTGAGCAAAAAATATGACCATTAGATTTGACAAACTGCTAACCTCAAGGGAATGCCAAAAATTTCACATTTCCAATTAAACCACTGTGAAGACCTTTTTGAATATTTCAAATAAATGGGCAACAGTGTCAAGAATAATTTATTTTTTGGCACAATCTACGTGTTACAGTAATAACACTTTGTCTTGCTCAAGAATACTCACAAGTCAAAAGACAATACATCATAAAATTGCAACCTTCAGATTCATCATAGGACCATTACTCTAAAGCTACTTGACTATTTTTATTATGCATGCAATTAACCAAGTTTCAAAAACCTGCGACGGTGCTACTAAAGGTTCAAAGCCATGATCAATCTATGCATTGGGACATCTTGTAACAAAAACTCCCAAACATCTTGGAAGATCCAACACGCATTTCCTTCCACAGTCGTGTCCAAACCGGTTTGATGGATGAGATTATCTTACAACCAAATCTACAACTGCACAAGCTCTGCTCTTTGAATTTCCCTCTGAGCGATGGAGAGTTCTTATCTCAGGAAAACAGAGACCTTAAAATCACATTACCTAATACCTCCTGATCCATTCCAGCTCTCATATTACTTAATGTCGGCCAGCAAACGGGGATGAATCCGAAAACAATCTGCATGGCCAGGATGAGACCTACAACCACTGGCCCTGTAGCTTATATAATCAGAGGCATCATGACATGCCGACTCCCTCACAGACTCTGCTGGCTGGTGATAACAATGTCATATTTAGCTGATTTGTTTTTCCTTCTGTGTTGAATTGCATGTTTTTATTGACAAATACTTACGGGAAGTTTATGTAAGCAACAAATACAGAAGTTAATAAACAATTTAACATAACTTCTCCAAAGAAGTTGAATACCTAATTCTTTCATATAACTATAGTTCATGTGTCATGGTATGACAGATCAACAATAGCAATATGACAGAATCAGGCATTCTTTAACTTCTTTTGAGGAGTATATTTGGTAAGCTTTCCTTTCAAAATGAGCTGGCTCATGACAACACATAGTTTCATCGTTAGATGGAGAAGCGAAGAATTTGCGAGTGAGTTTGTGAGTTTAATGCTCATCATTTCAGCAGTACTGACTGAGTTTGATTTTACGCCGCTTTTAGCAATATTCCAGCAATATCATGGCGGGGGACACGAGAAATGGGCCTCACACATTGTACCCATGTCGGGAATCGAACCCAGGTCTTCGGCGTGACGAGCGAACGCTTTAACCGCTAGGCTACCCGACTGCCCCCATTTTAGCAATATAACAGCTGAGGCTGCAACATTGTTAGACTCATCTTTGATAAGACGATTAACATATCTAATGCCGTCATATCAGCATGAACAGAGAGAACCATTAATCTTACAGACTTTGAGAAGCATAATTTATTAACCTTCTTTTAAACACTTGAAGGGAAAAAAATACAATATATTCATGTTGGATAAACATCTAATTGTATCCAATTCTCATGGAATTAATAGCAAAGAGTGATTCAAAACCAGTGTAAGGATAAGTTCCTTGACATTTGGGAAAATGGCTCGAACTCCCAGGTGGAGGAGGGCAGGAATCAGGCAACCATGGCTGTTGGGTTTTGTTGCAAGGGGGCTACAACCAGAGCACTAGGGTGCCTTTGTTTCCCTCCAGATTCTTGTTTTGCTTAGTGTGATAAGCCTGGGGAACAGGCAGCACAACAGGTGGTATGTGTCCAGTCGAGACCCACGTAAGACCCATCACACAATCAAAAGATCACAAGTGGCATGAAAGGTTTCTTGGAGCTCAGCTGCTGGGCAGATTGTGGTGCAAGCGCCTGTCTGAATGTCAACATTTTACATTGTTGTGGGACTGACAAGTGAGTTAGTTTAGTTATATCAGCGGTGGTCAGAGTGATAGAGTTGTGTTTAACACTGCTTTAAACAGTATTCCAGTTATATCACGGTGTGTCAGCTTAATGTGGGAGGAAAGCCTGAAGTGATGCAGGTCTTGGACGTTTACCACTTTGGTGAAATCCATGAGCTAGGGTATGGTGCTGACAAACCTAGACACATAATCAGTGTTTACTGGGATTCAAACCCATGATTGTATGTTTCTGATGTGCCCAAGGAACGACACCTTAGATGACTGTGCCCCCTGAATAATGTAGGAGAAAAACCCAAAGGGAAGTATTTAACTAACACATGTATATATACTGATAGACAAAGGATCATAATTAAGGGAAATCTGGTATTCAAACTCATGACCAATGGATCCTGATACAGCTAAGGGATGCAACTCTGTGCAACAAAACTGTGGCTTGTCACCACTTGGCCACCATCCCATGTAACCCACACACATCATGATCATTGTCCCCAACATACAGAAGAGCTAAGGTAGCCAGTGTGTGTTCTCACCAGTACCAGATCCCAAAGGTCTCCTTCACAACATAAAAAGATACATCACAAATTACTGCCTCCAACATGTCCGACCCCACCCATCCCCATCCCCCTTGAGATGCTCTGTCAATAACGGCAAGGAAAAGGGCGTGACTGACGACCCGAGAGAGCAGGGCCGGTGTTGCTCTCCCTGGGGATCACTTGACCTTGTAGCAGTGAGCACCACAGGGGCTGCCTGTATCTGCTGGACAAATGTTCCGTGTAACGCAAGTCGCGTTCTGGCAGCTTGTTGTCACCGACACCAGTGAGTCATGTGACCTTTGATAACTTGCTTTGGAAGCCTTGCAGGCATGTTTACATCACTTCTATCTCGCCAATTTTGAAAATTGAAAGAAAAACACAAGTGTTTTCTTTACTTCTTATATTTGTTGTTATTGAATAACTCCCCATGCCCTCTGATATCCTAGTTGAATCCATTTTATCAGTGATATAAAAACCATTGCAGTAAACCGAAGCAAATAATGGCCTTATCTCAACAAACAACCTTTTGAATGTTTAAGATACAACACTGACAGATCTAAAGTAGTTTTGATCTTGCAGACAAGGTGTTTACATATCAATCATGTAAAAAAAAATAGTTTGAAAAATGAGTTTGTTAAGTGAGTGAGGGGGAAGCTGGAGCAAGATGGCATAGATGTGGAGTATTCTGAAGTCTTAGCGTGGCCAGTACTATAGTCACTTGCCAACTGAAGTACCACCCAAGGCAACATCCAAGAACCCCTGTGGATGTCTGGCCTACTACCCTTCAATATCAGCATGGAGTAGAGGCCCTGCTTGCACAAAGCGATCTTTGCTCCCAGACATGGATTAACAATAAAGCTGTAGTGCTAAGTGGGCCTTGGAGGTCCCCTGAACGCACAATACCAGCACGGGGTACTGGCGGTCCCCTGAACCCACAATACCAGCACGTGGTACTGGAGGTCCCTGAACCCACAATACCAGCATGGGGTACTGGAGGTCCCCTGAATGCACAATACCAGCACAGGGTACTGGAGGTCCCCTGAACCCACAATACCAGCATGGGGTACTGGAGGTCCCCTGAATGCACAATACCAGCACGGGGTACTGGAGGTCCCTGAACCCACAATACCAGCATGGGGTACTGGAGGTCTCCTGAACCCACAATACCAGCATGGAGTACTGGAGGTCCCTGAACCCACAATACCAGCATGGAGTACTGGAGGTCCCTGAACCCACAATACCAGCATGGGGTACTGGAGGTCCCCTGAACCCGCAATACCAGCACGGGGTACTGGAGGTCTCCTGAACCCACAATACCAGCATGGAGTACTGGAGGTCCCTGAACCCACAATACCAGCATGGGGTACTGGAGGTCCCCTGAACCCACAATACCAGCACGGGGTACTGGAGGTCCCTGAACCCACAATACCAGCATGGAGTACTGGAGGTTCCCTGAACCCACAATACCAGCACATGGTACTGGAGGTCCCCTGAACCCACAATACCAGCACGGAGTACTGGAGGTCCCCTGAACCCACAATACCAGCATGGGGTACTGGAGGTCTCCTGAACCCACAATACCAGCACGGGGTACTGGAGGTCCCCTGAACCCACAATACCAGCATGGGGTACTGGAGGTCCCCTGAACCCACAATACCAGCACGGGGTACTGGAGGTCCCTGAACCCACAATACCAGCATGGGGTACTGGAGGTCCCCTGAACCCACAATACCAGCACGGGGTACTGGAGGTCCCTGAACCCACAATACCAGCATGGAGTACTGGAGGTTCCCTGAACCCACAATACCAGCACATGGTACTGGAGGTCCCCTGAACCCACAATACCAGCACGGAGTACTGGAGGTCCCCTGAACCCACAATACCAGCATGGGGTACTGGAGGTCTCCTGAACCCACAATACCAGCACGGGGTACTGGAGGTCCCCTGAACCCACAATACCAGCATGGGGTACTGGAGGTCTCCTGAACCCACAATACCAGCATGGGGTACTGGATACAACCTGAGCCTACCCGAGATAGAGCTGAAAAAATTACCTGGCCGTAATGTTGAATATCCGTTGCGGGAGAAGTTGAAGGCACAGTTGACGTGCTGCAAGGTGGGGTCGGCGTCCTGTGCCACCTTCTCGCCCTCCTCGAACATCGACATAGCTGGAAAAGATGAAACATCATCAATGTACAAGTTGTAGTGAGGCTGAATCATTGATGAGGGACTAGGTGGAAAACATGCGATATATTTGACTAGACTGAGATTTTGTCTCTGAAATGAAAATATTTGAAGATTTAAGTTATTAAAAAGTATTTTAATCTATAATAGGAAGGAGCCCAGAGATTCTCTTCTTTTTCAGAAACTTTCGAATTTCGATTGTAATTTATTTCAGGTGTGTATGAGAGACAATTCAGAACCATGTACATCCACATTTTCCACATATACTTTGTTTCACAGTGGCTTTTGCTTGGTAATATTATCTCCATTAAATGTCTCCAAGATAAGCCATCCCCAGCCCTCTCTGCATAAGGACCAGCACTGAGCCTGTTAATGGAATGTCATTTTGTAACTTGAAACTCCACAATCTCAGCTCAGATCCGAGTTCATTCTGACCACTGGAGGATATTGTACATACTGAAAACTCTCCTGACAGTCAAATTTACTTTCACTATATCTGAAAAATAAGCCCAATTATGGAACAGGAAATGACTGATAAAAAGTTCAGTGAGCTTATTCAGTGGAACTTCAAGGATCAGGTCGGTTTGGCTCAATTCAGGGCATGTCGCCCTTTCCTGATGGCATGGATCATATAGCTAGAATAATGCTGAGTGCGGGGTTAAACAACAAACAAGACTTGATATGGCTGCCTGGTGGGTCTGTTGAACTACTGCCTGACAACATTAGTTCTAGATTAGCTAGGAGAGCAGAGTTAGCCTGTCAACACGTCAACGTGATCAAGCTTGGTCCAATTAATATACCAGCTGGATTAAATCTCCACCTTACAATTATACAAATACCCATATTTATGCCAAGCATTATACTCAATCACATATGACCTTTGTGTAGTTCCCTTTGAAAGGAGTTAACAGAGTTAGTTCCATCAAGTTGCTTTGGAAGACCATTTAACTGGCATGTATTTACGACACCTAGCCCCATGCAAATACATTTCACTGTCAGTGAAAACATTCTCCTCCCAACAGGGCCAACGCAGGTCAGTTGTGAAATCGGATCTTTTTCGGATCATTCAACGCTGTCATTCAACACAGGGACAATGACCCTTCAATCAGCGTCAACGTTTAAAACAAACCTATAGCTAACCTGCACCAGTTGTAATGAGAGTTGAGAAATTGACCAGAATCACCTGCTTGACAGCCTAAACCTACCTATAAATTAGAACTCTCTGGGGGAAATCAGCTGATGAGGTTCTAAAAGGGGGAGACTACAAGATTTGATAATGAAACATTTCACATTCGTCCACCAACAAAATCAAACCCCTACATAAAACAATAACATTTTGAAAATGTGGCTCTTAATACATTTAAAAGCTTTCAGTGAATTTTGATTGCATGATTAAGTTGCTTCAACAATACATTATTGTTCAGCAGTCAGTACCCCTCATGAAGACCCTCTGCTATCAATGTGAAATTAGCATCTCTCAAGAGACCTGTCTCAATGCTTTACTTATACATCGGCTCAGTAATTGTTGAAACCAAACCCAATCAAATTGTCATTAACAAGGGATGAGTTTCACCCGGATGGCAATGTATATGATATGATTTTCTGGCAGGGCGGTGATGGGTTAACCAACTGGACTAAACAAACACGAGAGCCAATCTTCCACTATCTGCATCAGCGCTTCTACAGCTTATTGGTAATCGACTTCCAGAAATGGGAAACTGCTCCGACTATGACAGAAAGAGAGAAAGGATTTTAAGATTTGCTATTGCAAGACGATCCCTTCAGCATGGAAATATGCGTTACAAAAAGTTTGAGGTCTACACATAACAAATAAAGGTTTGGTTGCTTAATGTTAGGATTATAGAGTTACACAGGCAGTTGACCAGCCTTCGAAATTCATGAAAGTCCTCTAGCCAGAGACAACTAAATTGTGTTGAGGACAAGCAAGAATCCAATGATGGAAGTCCTCATTGACTCGTAGCCCTGTGGGGGCTATAATTCTAAACCAATTCTCAATGCTTCAATTTTGCTATAAATTTGAACTGAATAAAAGCGACACGAAATGTAAACATAGTAAACACTTTTGTCTTGTCCAAGCAGGACTAGCTACAGACTCTGAGGACCAGTGTAATTAGGTTTACACAAATGTCTGAGGTTGGTAGACACTTCCCAATGACCAGATCTGTAATGGAGTTCCTCTGAGGACAATACTTGACCAGTATCATCGGTCTGTCCAGTGCCAGCTGTTTCAGAACACCTACAAAGTTCATACTCCTCACATACAAACTTTCTAATTGTAGCTTATACTGTATCTTATATATTGAGATATATCTCACAATCTTTTCCAACAAAATGATGATGAAATGTCTTGAAACTGATGCTCAGAATGGCTATTTTTGCACAATCTAATTCAACACACAAAATGCTCAAACGAAGATTTAAACCAAACATGGAATAATTTAAGCAACTGAGGTTAAAACATTTCATGCCCACAATAAACACTCTTTCATGGACCTTCATTACCAAATTTAAAGCAACATTTTGGCAAAACCATTCCCAGTAACCAAGGAATGTTATTCCAAGACCTCACTGCCCAAATGTCTTGGATCAATGGTAAACATGTTAAAGCCCAAATTACAGGAATCTTTATTCCGACATGTTCAGATGATTCTTATGAGAGGCAAGGCTGTCATCACATCACATGAAATGGAGGCTGGGCTTTCTAGATTCTACCAAGCAAGACAACCATTCCAGTTTGTCAGCTCCAACCATTCCAGTTTGGTTCAGAGAGCATGTAAGATACACTTGCATACATGTGCCGATTTCCTAATCAACACCACATGGTGTGCTGATAGCACCAGAATATGTCACTTCCCTTAAGTTACACCAGTAATAACTTTCTTTAAATTCACAATGACATTTTGGATACTGAAATCATTAACATGAATGTTCTACTTGAAACTTCCTTCTAATTACCGGTCTTGTTTCACTGCCAGGCATATAATACCATGTTGACAGAGGTTAAAAAACTATGGCAAGCATGTGTGGACGACAGTTGGGACTCTTGTAACCTTGCAGTGGCGTGAGGCACACTCGGCTCATTTGTGGGGCCTCGCTCAAATACGAATCTGTTCAGTGGAACGCTATCAGCTGATGCTTCCTCTCTGTGGCGTTCCACATCCCTTTTTCAATCTTCTGTCACGTTTTTTCTTCGTGCGGCATTACCTTTCTCGTGTTTTTGTCAATTTTCTTCTGATCTTGAATCTGACGTATACCCGGTGGCCTGTCTGTTTGAAAATATTTGTTGCTTTCATCCTGCCGCATACCTGTATACCTGACTGTTCACGTTGTTTACTCTTCCTCCACCTTGTGATGATTCCTTGCGTGTGTGAATTAGCTTGTTTACCATCATGATGGGAGACACAAGGAACTGCAAGGCTGCACCCACGTGGGCTTCAAACCCACGACTCCACCTTATGATCTGATCTGATTTTATCCTTTCGATTCTTTCAAACTTACTGTTCACATAAATACTTCCTCAGTCATGACCCAGCTGATAATGATTACCGTATTCGATGTAATAAGCGCCCAGGGCGCTCACAAAACAAGAAATAGGGGGCTCTTATTAGAATATTATTTTGGTTGAAAAAACGTTGAAAGATAAATTTTGTGGTTTATGCTGACGGCCTGAACTGTTAATATACGACAGATGTATTTTTGCCCGTAATTAAGGGTGCATATAACACACGAGTGCGTATTATACACGAATAAATAAGTCTTGTGTACATTGATCAATCGGAAGGGTGCTAATTGGGATTGTTCACTTGCCAATATCTTAGCAAATATCGCTGTGGGCACTTATTACGTCGAATACGGTACCTATTTCCAAGTAATGTTTAAATTGAGGAAGCCTGCCTATCTAAACCAGCATCTCCATAGGTGCTAGGCTGTCAAAACCAGCACTTGTAAAATCTGTCTATCTTCCTTAACCAGCGTCTCTTATTCATCACTCTAAATCTATTTTTCTCATTCCCAGTGTTGTTGTATTTGACAAAGTTCCCAGTATTTTGAACAAAAAAGCTTCACAAGAATTATACATACTCCTTTGGCTCATGATATGGACTTTAGTCAACTGTTGAAATATTTGACATGGAGACATTCCACATGCATCTACACAAGGAGGAAATCAAAAGCTGGCCATGGAATGAAATCAAAGGCTCAAATGTCAAATTTCAGGTCAAGTTCACTTTCATCTGTTTTTATCAAGGAAAATGTCAATTTCAAAATCAATTTCATCCCCATGTATTATTTGAAGGGGACAGAATTTTTCTGAGAGACACACACATGGTACTGAACAAAATTTATGAAGGGTAGCTGTAACAGAAACAAAAATTCAAAATTACAGGCGCTTATAATTGCAAGCAAGAGATAGCTTTTACAGGGAAAGCCAAGGAAGGCTGTTTGAAAAATACAATCTGAATTTATGAGCATGTCGTAAGTAGCGAAATTGACGACATCAACATTACATTCATTGGAACAGAGTTCTATAAATCCAAGATGAAAGTGTAATATTTCTATAACCATGAGCATCACGAGAAATAAACTGGAATTACTCCTGCAAAGAGGTTAAAAACCTCTGTTCAACATGGTTACACTTTGCAGCCAGGCCGCATATGTGGCTGAATGACGGCAAATTACGTCTCCACCTCCTTTCGTTCGCAATCAAGTGTTATTTGGTGGTATTCAATGGCTTTTCCGAGCATTGAGGAGTGCTGTATCGAAGTATATCAAACGACTTGGGGCCCACTTCCAACCTTAACGAAAGTACTGCCACAACATCACTTAAAACAGCCTCTCTTGTCCAGTGAAATTGACAATAATGAATCCTCGTCAACTAAAAATCAATCTGTTATCAGTTTGGCACAATGGAGCTACTGTGTGATGTACATGCAGCCGGACCAGTCCCTCCTCCTTCTCTATTGAT